CAGTTTGGTAACCGCATATTTGTTGCTCTCTCGACTGCCGGAGCCGCTGCCCTGGGAGCTGCTATGATGGGCCTTGTTGCGCTTGCCAATGCCGTTGCTCTTGGAGCGGGTCTCGAAGAGCACATCCGAATCCGTTTCCGATTCGGTAAGTGATGTATTGCGTGAATCTGCAATGTGACATTAGTTTATATATATATAAATATGTCGTAACAGTATGTTTTACTGTCACTTACAATTGGCCGCCTCTTCGTCCTGCGCGCCTATTAGCGCATACTTTTGCACCTTTTGGCGCATGCTGCGTGGCTTTTTGGTTTGGCGACAGGCGCAGGCGATGCCCCAGAAGATGCCCGAGAGCAGCAGGCAGGTGGAAATGACGCCCACAAACACATACAGAATGGACCAATCTGAAAAAGCAAAGATTCACTTAGCTTACATTCAAAAGGGTATAAGAAATATTTGTTTAGCTACCGCAGTTGGCCTCATCGTTGCCAAAGAAGAAGCCCGCCGAGGGCATCCAGAAGGCCTCGCAGACGCACGCTCTCGTCGAGGGATTGCATCGGCCATGACCCGAGCAATTGTTCTGACAGACTGTGGTGCGTATGTCCACATAGAGTGTGCCCAGTATGGAGGCATCCTTTTGCAGCTTGGCGCGCAGCATTTGCTCCACGTGCAGCCCATTCATAGGCGTTGGTTGTCCACCCTTCGCATCGTTGGCCATCACAAAGAAGACCAGCACCGCCGCCTCAGTGTGCAGATCCTGCTTCAGTTCCCTGATGTGTATCTTATTATCGTCGCCCAATAGTAGTTGCAGCTTCTGCACAGTGGAGTCCAGTTCGCTCTTGGTCAGCACGGATAAGCTCATGGGTAGCGTCATTTGCACCAAGTACATTAGCATAGGATCCGCATGGACATTAATGCTGACTGTATCCGTGCTGGTCAAGCCCTGATCGTCGCTCACTGTCAGCTTGAAGACATAGCGTCCTTGCACCACATTGGTGAGCTGCAAGAATATAATGGGTACATCAATAGCAATTGATCTCTGATTTAGCTCATCTGTGTTTTGGCCTTACAATCATTACTGGCTGCTTGTCCGTGTTGTCAATGATGACGCCGGCTGCTTGGCTCGTATCCTCACGCGTCCACACATACTTCACCACAGCCAAATCATCCGAGGATTGCGAGCCATTCAAGTAAATCGCTGTGATGGGCAGAGTTATGGTGCGATCTCCGCCAGCATTGGCAATGGGCGCTGCATTGCGTTCTATGAATGAAATTTAAGATTAGCATGGATTTAATTGAATATGTGATGAGTCGAATACCCTGCACAATCTTCACCCAGGTGCTGTCCGTAGCCGTGTTGTTGTTCTCATCCGCTACGCTCAGCTCGAACTCATAAAGCCCAAGCGTTAGGCTGGTCGCATTGGCAATCTAGTGAAGTACCAATAGAAGTTAAGGAGAGATTAGATTAGATTGGGTGTTCTATATATACTTACGGAGGTATTCGATTTAAGTATGACTGCATTGTTGGGTCCGCTGAGCTGCTTCCACTGATAGCTCTTGATGCCAATGTCGTCTTTTGACTCGGAGCCATTCAGAATGGCCCAATTGACGGGCAGGCTGGTCGTCTAAGAATTGGTTTATATAAAGGAACGTTATCAATGGTGTTCAAGAGATAAGGGTAATTCACAACTTACCACATTGGCGCCCGCTTTGGCTGTGGGCGGGGAGTTGGTGGGCGGCTTGACAAAGACGTGCACCTTGGCGGTGCTCGACTGCTTGCTGGCATCGGTGACCTTCAGGACGAACGTGTACATGCCCTCCTCCAGATTGGAGAGCTGCAAGTAGGGCGTTCTTGTCTTCTGCATGTCCACGGCCTTTGCCTCGTCGCTAGCATCCTTTGTCCACTCCCACTCAACGATTTCGTGATCATCGGAACTGGCGGTGCCATTGAGGGTTACGTTGTTGTTGGGCAAATACAAGATGACGGCATCTCCGGCATTGGCCACCGGCGCATAGTCCGTCTCCTTGAGCACCGCTATGGTGGCCGTCGTTGAGTTGGTGACGTTATTGGAGTCCGTTACGGTCAGCTTGAAGGTGTAGTTGCCCGGCGAGGTGAGATCCAGCTGCAGCGTGTTCACCTCCGGCAGCTGCGGCTGATAGCCAATGGGTCCCGAGATGACCTCCCAGTGCCAGTTGATGATCTTGTCGTCGTCGGTGCTGGTGCTGCCATCGAGCACCGCATTGGATGTGGGCTGGCGAATGATTTGCTCTGGCGGTGAGATGATTACCTGCGGTGCCTGGTTAATGCGCCGCTCCGGCAACACGGTCACATTGGCAGTCGCCTCGCCAGAGGCGCCGCCCTCACCGGTGACGGTCACCTTGAAGGTGTATAGACCCTCGGATAGATTCGATAGTTTCACCTTTGATTTACTCTGATCCGAAATGGTGCCGTTCATCGGTCCCTTGGGCTGCGATATGAGCGTCCACAGATATTTGTATTTCGAGCCGGTCGTTTGCTCGTCGGGAACAGTGAAGGCGGCCAGCGTTACCTCCTGCTCCGGCAGTTGCACTTGCTTGGACATGACAGAGACCGTGATCTTGTTGATTTCCTGCTTCATGGGCGACGGCGCCACAACCTCGGACGCAATCTCGCTAGCCGCTGCGGCCACTTCTTGAGCCATTCGCGAAGACGCCTCACTGGGCAAATAGGCGCTGTAGGGCACAGCGGGCATCACGCACTTGTGCTGCTTGTTGCGTATGAGGCCATGCTTGCAGTTGCACAGACCGGTGACGGCGTTCGCCTGCAGCGGCACGCACTGCTCCTGGGGCGGGCAGGGCGTGTCCAGGTCGCAGGTCATGAATTTGGCATTGTTGGGCAGCTCAGCGGCGCCATAGTAACTGAGATCGTCGTCGTTCTCGTCGGGCTGTTGCTGCAGCAGCAATTGCTTGACACGCTTCTCCGCCATGGGGAACTCATCTTCGTCATAGGCATTGCTGTCCTGTAAGAGATTGAAGATTAGTGTGATTTATGTTTGATAAAGTGGACTCTGGCGCGGCTCACCTGAAACTGCAGACGACGCGGCTGCTTCCAAAAGTTCAGCTCCGATTCGTAGGGCAAGATTTCGGCATTCTGTTTGGTGGCCTTCAGCAGCTGTGTCCAGGTCTCTGTCAAATCGCCCACCGGATTCACCAGTACCATCTGAACCTTTTCGTTTTCTCGCTCGCGTGCCAGAGCTTTTGGCATGCAGGCCTCGTTGCTAATGCAATGAATATGATAGCATTTGCGCTTGAAGACTAGGACCACGTTGCAGGTGTTGCGTTGGGTCTGGTTTTGGATCTGGGACTTCTCACAGCACGCCTCCAGGCAGCTCCACAGGTACGTCTCCTCGTCCAGCACCTGGCCCACCTCGGGCTTATATTCCTCGAAGACGCCAGCCTGCTGCTCGTCCCGTGGTGTCGCATTCTCAAAGACATGGCGCAGCATGCGTGAGCAGATGGGCAACTGTTTACTGTTCGCTGCCAGCTCCTCTTTGCCCGCAACGGCAGCAGCGAGCAGGGCATTTTGCGTTGTTGTTGTGCCAGCAGCCCCCACTCCGCCAGCTGCTGCCGTCATGACGTCGGCTAAAGCGTATGTTGCTGACGCCATGCAGAGCCACAGCCAGCAGCAAAGCCAGCCGCGTTGTTCGTAGCGCGAGTGTTTCATTTCGTTGTTTTTCGGCGTTAACAAACTGATTGAAATTAGATTGTTGCCAATTTTGTGCACTTTTTTCAGCCAATTTGCATAAATTAATACATTTTTTGTAAAGAACTTGTGAAGGGCTCCAGCAGCCAGTGTGGCCAACGCGCGACGCTTAACTAACGAAAGAAAAGGCGATAGAAAAAATACCAATATATATACTGTAAACAGCTGTTTCGGTGGTTGTGCCAGTGCTGTAAACGACCGTCGCGGCAATATACGTTAAAATTTGAAGCTTACGCTGGGGAAAAGCATACAGAGCGAAAAGCTCTGGCAGGCAACTGGGGCAACTGTGCAGACAGTTAACGCGCTTGCTTTGCGTGCTTTGGCGTGTTGTTCAATTGTAGTTAACGAATAATAAAAAAACCCGAATGGAAAATGAAATAAAATCGCAACCTCTCACATTATAACATTGCGAATATTGATTTAAGAACGCAAATTGCAAAACAGGTCGCGGGGGCCCACACACACAAACAAACACACCTAGAGAGAAACGAGGTGCCAGGTAGTTCGTAATAGGACTGTGGGACGTACGCCCACGCGTAAATGGAATTTTAATCGAAACGCTAAATCAAAACAATATTAATTATGTACATAAAGAACAGCAACTGCCAGCGTATAATTTATATATCATATATACCCAGATACCAAATCTAAGCAAAACCATTTTTTTTCTTTCTTTATGTTTTTGTGTAAACAAAAAATATATAGTAATTATAATAACAAAAGAGATATAAATCAATGTTTGAACTTAAAAAGATATATATACTCTTGTTGCTATTGTTGCTGTTGTGGGTTCGACGTATGTTTTAGTTGCGTGCTCTATTTTATCTAAAGCACATTGCTTACCAGGCAGGCCGCACGGCGCCACAGTTGGACAAGCACTGCCAAAGACAGCACAGAGTACGATACAGTCTGAGCTTCTCGCACATAAACAATCTATCAATTTAAATGCCAATTTTGTTCAGCAAATAAAAAATGAAAAATATAAATGTAAATCACGTTTGCTTTTGAATCTCTTTGTCGACACGCTTGCAACTCATTTCTGTGAACATAGAACAGATTTGATTAAATATTTGCCCATAGTGAAGCATTCAAGTGGCATTTGACTCATCTGGCGGATCTTTTGGCCATATAAGGCAAAGTTTGCCTAAGTCTGTGTAGTAGATAAGAACAGCAGATGCCAGATGCAGCCCATTAGCTTTACGACTCTATAAATATCTGAATAATTTACTGATAAAATTCCATTTGGCTTTGCTTGCAGATGACAGACTTCTCGGATAGCTCACAGAGCGGCATGTTGAGTCCGGCGACGACGCTCATTGAAAGTTTCAACAAGAAGAGCGGCTCAGCCTCGACGACGCCGCTGCCCAGCTCCTCCTCAGCCTCAGCCTCGGCCAGCAACATGCTGTGCAGCCCGCCCACGCTGAATGGAGTGGCAACGGTGAATGGTGGGGGGCCGCTGAGTGCTGGCAGCACCACAGTTGCCAGCCTGGGCGGACGACAGATCAACACGAGCTCCAGTTCTTGCAGTAGTCTTAAGGAAACCTCACATCAATCCACATCCACGTCGCAGCAGGTGAGGCAGACAAAATTAAATTTAGGACACATTATGTACGCGGAAAAATGCCAATTGGTGAAAAATAATGAGATGAAGTGTTATATAGGCATAGCTGATATATATGTTATATGCTGTTGTTATATGCAGGCATTCTGCTATACTGTCAACTATTAAACTTTTATACAGTCAAGAAACCTTCAACTACTAATGTAAAAGAGCTTTAGTAGTTGTAGTAGCAGTCAGATCTACTAACTGCTTTTAAAGAACATTATGAACAGCGTTGTCAATTTCTTAATAATTGATATAATTACGTATGGGATATTTATATAAAGCCCTGAGGTAGGGCATTAGTTCTATGCAGTCGCGTCTATTTTTAAACAATTACTTGAGCTTAGAGAATGCGAGACCTAAGTAGCTATAAAAATTCCTAGGCCCTAACTGAGCTGATAACAATCATTCCCTTGCCCACAGTATGTTTCAAGTTTCTTTTGTTCACTCGCCAAAGGTTAAAACGGTTCGATATGAAACGCGCTCTGATTAGATTATTGCAATTCTAATTGGCGTCGCAGCGGCTGCTGTACAAAAATCAATTACAGCTAATACCGAATACCGAATACCTTGTTTGGCATATTCGATTTGCTATTTGTTGCGCTATGGGTTGAGCAAAAGCTATAAAATTAATTGCCCATAGCCAGTATGTAAATATTTACCTATTGCTATTGCTGTTGATACATTTTCTATAAAACGTGCCGCTTGCCACAGCTTTTGTTTAAACATAAATTTCCCACCATAGAAACAGAATTTTGTTTTCGCTCAGATAAGATTGCTTTAGCGGCATTTACATGCAACAGTTCCGCTTAGAGTTTATAATTTTTATCTATTCACAATTTCCGTCGTGTGATAAGCAGGGCCATCAAAAAACTTTGACAATGTGTTGTTATACCTATTTGCAATAGTACACCAGGGTATTATAAAATAATGTTAATTATATGTTAATAAAAATACACTACTTCTATGCGCTTAAATAATTTCATTTGCATAGTCTCTCGATATATTTCACTAGTTAAGGCTTTTATAGAGTATTCACAAGTCGTTTCTGCCCTAGTTAACACTTAACATTCTGTTTATCAATTCATTGACATTTCCCATTGAATCACTTGCCTCTAAAATAGTCGCTTACAGGGCGTATTTTGACGCTGCCTTGGTCAAGTTTTTTTTTATTAATTAATGCGTCCATCCAATCTGTTGGGTTATCAAAGTGGGTGACAAATGCTGCGAGCTTTTAAATAGTTGCTTGTGTAATCATTGGGCATGCGTACAAAGCTCAACATGCCTTCAATTTACCGTTCATTTGAGAACAAGTGTATTTATATTTGTCTCCCCCCCACCGAGTAGAATTTTATTTGCACTGTCTGCTCAGCCTCAACCAATGACTCACTTACCGGTAGATGTCGCTGCCAGCGATGTCGACGTCGACATTGACGTCGACTCTTGATGTCGCGATGTCTTCGGATCGTCACGCGCGCCAACGGCTCGTGCTGTAGCTCTCTTTCGAAAGGGGGAGAGACAACAAGGTAGAGCCAGAGAGGTTGAGAGAGAGATCTTGAGTGTGCGCCCGCTCAGCGTTTGTTTGCCGTTTTCCTTACAAGAGATAAGCGCAGCTTAAGCTTTTCTTTGGCTGAGCTTTGATTTATCTACTGTATACAAAGGCAAACTTCAATTTGTGTGCGCAAGCTCCCTTACTAAGTGCTTTCTGCGAAACAATATTTTTGGTCTATTAGCTGTCGGCCAATGCTTGACAAGTGAAATTCTAAAGAAATTGTTTTTATTTTAGAATGAGCCAAAGATTAGAAATAATTAGTTTCGCAGAAAATACAATGATGTGTTAGAAAAATGGGAAAAATATATCAAATATAAACTTGGAAAAATACTTAGTTAATAATTAATACGTATATACATATGTATATATAGCCACTAAACGTTCAGTTAGGTGAATTAATTCCATACATACATATGTCTTGCGTAGGAGTATGTAAAAAAATAAAAATGTATGACACATTGTCGATTGCGTAGTGTGTGAATAAGTCAACAAAGGATGGTTAAAATTGGGGATTAATAATTGCAAGAAATAAAAACACCTGAGATTTTATTTAATAATAACTTTGACAAATTTGATATCAAATTATCAGAAGCTAATGAACTTTGTTTATGAGCAGTAAATGATATATGGCCCATATTTTATTAGTCATTTGGGAATTTTGAGCTTTAGAATTTTAAAATAATTATACATAAAGCAGTAAAATCTAGTTAGGATTATGCAAATTTGAGCAGAAATCAATTGTTTAGTAATTGTATAAGAATTAGCATACAAATACGTGTAACTATACGTGTGTGTGTTTGTGTGTGTGCATAATCAGCCAGCTGATTAACACTAACAAAGATCCACAAAGTAATTATTAATATAAACACACAAAGTAAAACAAACCACAAATCACAGAAGGCAGACACACACAAATATAACACACACTCTCTCCTCTCTCTGTCTCTGTCCTCTCCGTGCTCATCGTTCAGCTGGTGTTAATGCAAAAGAGCAACACTAATCAAATAAGTCAACAGCGCATTTAGATGCTGTTAAGTGAGTGGGAAAGGGACACAGATACCATCTGAAAGCAGGCTTCATAAAAACTTAATAAAACCTTCAGGCCGAACGCGTTAATTAGAAAACCGTTTGGTCTTTGGTATTGGAAACGTGAGGCGTACAGGCCGAATTATGGAAATGCACAAATACACTGCATAAATTAGATAATAGATAAATATAAGCGACGCGTTCTTCTAGTGGTTATACTCGTTAGTGTTGTTACTTTTACACAGTTGCCGGCGCGAATGTATTTACAATATGATTTCCTAGAATTCTCGGCGTGCTGAGCTCACGTCAACGACAACTTTTTGCTATTCGCAGTCTAGCCGTCCCGCTTGCACCCACAGCCCAGTGATCACACACATTTTAAAATGACAATCGACGCCAGCGTCGACGCCGACAGCGTTAAAAGCTCTAGACAGAGCTATAGCGCCCTCGCCAAGAAATTTTTGCTCATTTTACTTTAGTTAACGAAACGAACGAGAAGCGAGCGTCGCGCGCAAAAAAACATCGCAGGAACAGAAAAAAACGTCGCAAAATCCTTTTTTTTTATTGAATTTTAGCCAAACGTGCAATGATTTTTTTCGTGTGACGGCAGCGCCTCATACATAATAAATATTTTTAAGCATACTTTGCAAATTAATTTCCCAACGAATTTCGAACGACAAATACAAACGAACAATTAAACGAACTCTCCGTGTTATCAGTATTTTCTATACAAACGACAAAGAAAAAACAACTACGAAGAACTCAGTAACAATAAAGACGACAAAAAGAGGAAGACAAAAAAACCAGCCAACGATTATTTTGTGTTCTTTCATTTTGGTGCTGTTTGAATGATTTGCGGCAAGCGTGAAAAATATTAACTCGAAAGCTCAGTTCAGTCTACGAAGCGTCTTGGCAGCGTGTGAACCGTACATAAAAAAGAATCTGCGTCGCTCTACTTAAAAAAATAAAGTGGGTCTAAAGCCAACGACGAAACGAAATACACGAAAATAAATAAATAGAAATATTAAAAATATTTGCACATCAATCTTTGAATAGTGCGCGTGCAAAACAGAGGCAGCTATTTTATATATATACAAAATATATATGTTTTTTAACAAATTGTCTGTCCACCTGTGTAAGTGTATTTTTGTATGTGTGTGTGTGCTGATAAGCCCCCCACAGGCAATATATTCAGTTTAAAGTACATACGAATGCCTTACGCTACGTAGGCGTATACGTAATAAGAGCTACAATTGTAGTTATTTCAAGAAGAATTTCCAGAAACAACCAACAAGTTGAGCGTACTAGCCGACATAGGTTAGTATATATATTTATACATACATATACAGATTGTATAGACATAATAATGATAAATTAGTAAATGACGCAGTGTTAAAAGCGTTAAGGTTTATCATATCTAATCAATTGACTTCATGTCCAAGTAATGTTAGGTCCAACCACTTGCCTCCCCATACAATACAATATTTACTATCACAACGCCGACAGCAAAATATACATAAGAAGTGTGTAGAAAAAAAAAAATATATATATGTATATATATATAAAGCGAACGTCGATCACTGGCACTTGGGAATTTTTTTTTATTTCTTTACCTCAGGCCATTGCGATAAGTCAGCTCGTTTATACCTCGTATTATGCCATAGAGCAGCTCATATAGCTCATTGATTAAATGATTGAATCACAACACGCTCGGTTTATGTATGAATGTCGTATGTGATATATGCAAAAACTCTTTAGTTGTTAAAGCACTCTCTTGATTGTTGTCTTAATCAACGACTCAAGCCATATAGAAATTAAGAATAGTTAAAAGTTAAGAGACGCCCACGCAACAATTTCTGCTGATTTATTTTGGCGCTTCGGCTCGAGTCTTTTCGCCAAAAATGAGAACTGTCTAAAATTAGATTCGATTCGTAATGTGACCAAAACAAAACTGAAAAACCCAAAAAATATATACATTTATATATACAAGAAATAAATAAAACTTTTGCTCGCATCTGTGGGTTGGCGTCTCGTTCTTTTTCCTCGTTTCTGACAAACTTCACAAATGGTTAAGTGCCAAAAAAAAAAAGAAGAGATTTTACATGCCATTCAATTGTTTTCGTCTGGCTCGCATGTTGATGCTGTTTGAATAGAAAAAATATAAATAAATAATTGGTTTTCTGAGAAAAATCTGAAAAGGAATTCCGATTGCTGTTCGAAATAATTGGCTCGTTAAAGAACTTTTACGTGAAAGATTTTATAAGAAAATTAAATATATGCAAGAATTATTTTTAAACAAATGTGTTACCAGATTAATATTTTGTATTATTAGTATTATAATACACTTTTTATCCATGTAGCAACAGGTTGTTACTCTCCCTATCTCTTTCACGCTCTCGCCTTCTCTTCAAATTTCACGAACGTTTAGCTCACGCCTGAAGCCGACTTCGTATTGGACGAAACTGTTCTCTCTACTCTCCTAACAAATCCCTCTCCTTGTAGGTTTCATAATTGACGTGTGTTTATCGTATTCTACACTCTTCACTGTTCGAAATATTCTCTGAGGATTATCTTCTCACATTCGAAGTGAAAGTTTTTCTATACTCTCATTAAAATCTCTCTTTTAGGCTTCTTCTTCCTTCCGTCTACTTCTAGTTTTTATATTTCTGTTGTATTTTTGCTTTCTGTATATCCTTATCTTCCATCTCCAGTTCGCTTCAGTTGTTGACTTCGCTCAAGTAGTTGTAGTTTTAAATATCAAGCGACACCGATATCTGATGTTAGACATGAAGTGCTCAGCGGGTGATGTGTATCTACAAATATATATAGTATATATGTATACATTCACATATAGATAGAATAGTTATGTGTTTTATGACTTCTTATCTACATTGCGAATACTCTAAGATTTCTACTCTCAACACATGGGAGGGAAATAGACATAAGAAAACGGGTATATCGCTTTGGAGCTAGAGTATGTCTTGCATATGGAGTAAAAGTATTGCTCTATCCCTAATATTGCATACTTCTTTTGGCCTTTGTCATATATAAGCATGAGTCAAAGTTTTCACAAGAATAAAGTCTGCATTAAGCTTAGATGTAGCATCAGTCTAAAGTAAAAATTAAAAATTTATAAAACTGCAAAGGTATTTAGAGCATTATTTAGTCGTTAATTGATAATTAAAGAAAACTGGCCCATGTCTTCTTGAAGTTTTAAATGTGGCCAGGCCATTAATCATTTGACATTTATCACATTATTTGCTTATCAGGGAAGACACAGTGCTAAAATAAAGCCATCTATCAACAGTTTGGCAAATATACAGTTATACGGTGCCATTTCATTCCGAAAAAAACCAAAACAAAACTTGTGATTTATAAAGGGAGGCGTCACTAAGCGCCTGCCATAAAAGAGCTCGCTCAGATAGCGCCAAATTTTATAAATATATATAAGATATATCCTAAACATACATATGCATACTCTATATAAGCAAATATTTAATTGAAAACATTTTTTAAAGCATTTTTAGCATATTTCTTAGTTGATTCAAAGTGAATTTTAAGTCTAAATATGTCTGCGCTCTATCTCATTCACACTTCTCTCTCTCTCTCTCTCCTACTCTTTTTAGGTTGTCAATAGCAGCAGCAGCACAACGACGCGCGTGGAAAAGAAATCCCAGCGCTTGCATCACATAACATCATCATCATCATCGACAACCCAGGCGTCATCATCATCATCGTCGTCTTCCTCATCATCCACGTCTTCGGAAATGAAGGCCGCCGCCGTGAAGCGGGATCTCACTGATATCAAAGTCTCCATGTCGGAAATCGAGAAGTTGACAGCGGCGCCAAAGCCAGCGCCGACGCGAAATCATCCATCGATTGATGACCTCAAGGGTCGCAATAGCGAATATACCATAGAGAAGCTGAAAAACAAGTGAGTACCACTGAGAGAGAGAGAGAGAGTGAGAGCGAGAGAGAGAGAACGACCAATCTCTATGTCTTTTTTCTTGCAGAATTCGCGCCTCGTTCGAGAATCTGGTGGATGGCAATGATGATGGCAGCTGCCATGGCATTGTGACGACTCCCGACGGCGATGACGACTGCACACATCCCCACTTTGGCAGCGGGCTGGAGCTGACGCATCCAACGGCTGCGCAGCTGAGCGCCAGCAGTGGCTTAAGTGGCTCGAATAAAACCATCGACACCATCAAGTTCGAGGAGAAGCGCTCCAAATCGATGGCCACCACCAAAGTGGTGGCCGATGGCTTCAGCTCCGAGCAGGCGACCAGCAATTCGGCGGAAATGAAGCGTCTGCAGACCGGCGACATCGACTACAAAGAGGCTAAGGCTGCGTCGGCGGTGCGAAGCCGTTTGGAAATGGATGGCGTCAAAACAGAGGAGAATGCAGCCGTAATGCAGGTGAGCAGACCAATCAATCAATCAATCAATCAGTCAATCAATCATGTTGACAATGCTAACTCGTTGCGTAGCTAATTACATGCTTTAGTGTAGCCATTGAACTCTGTTATTAAATCTGCGTCTAGCTGACGGCAAAGCTCTGCAAAAGCTTTCTATTGGCTAGTGACGCAGCGCTCGCAGTCGAGCACAGCCCCACAGCCCCCGCTCTAGACAGTGTGTGGCGCAACCCCTAGGGCAAAGCTCGAGCGAGCCCAACCGTTAGACCGGGCCACTCCTTTCAGTTGAAGTTCGTCGCGTGCATGTTAGAGTCGTATAAGGCACCAGCGGCGCCAAAGCGGGAGCTGTAGCTGGAGCTGTTAATGGCTGTAAAATAGTAAAATATCCAGTGAAAGTTTAGTTCAGTTGCTTAAGAGACTCCCCCCAAAAAAAAATCGATTTTGTTTGCTATATGTTTGCGCGGCGCCAAAAAGTAGGCAACAGTCTGCTGCGAAATACCATCGCGTATACGTAATATGTTTCTCTACAAGTGCCAGCGCTCGTGGAGTCCACATCTCGTGCGACACTTCTGCTCCGCCAAGGACACCGGCAAGGTCTCGATGCTAAGAAGAATTCAGGTACGAACTGCAAGTTGTGCCAGGCAACGTTACCACGGGCAACGTCAGTTGCCGTTGCCAGCTTATCTAATCAATGCGAGGAAGGGCGGGGAAATAGCCAGGCGGGAAAGGATTGTGCCTGTCGCATTGCAAATTAGCATAGATGATTTTATGATGCGTCTCATTAGAGATTGTGAGCAACGCAATTCCCGCTGGCTGATGAAATTTTATTGCACCTATTGCATTGAATAATGTTCAGGTAAAGGCCACACGTTAATGGCCAGCCAATATATAGGGCATATAAAATGAGTTATTAAATGTGTTAAATGCCAAATGTCAGCTTAACCGCACGGCAATTGCTGTGGACGTCGTTTTAAGGGTTTCGAATAAATTGTGCATTAAATTACATTGCGTATACTTAATATTTAATTTCTGTGAGTCGAGCTCGAGCTTGGATTAAGTCAAGTCTTTGCCTTGGCTCATATATTAGCAATATTTTGAAAGGATATCGATAATGAATTTTATTCAGCTACATTACATTATTCAATCAGATCAACTCATGCTATATTTTCTGTAGTCATTGATCAAGTATTAATTTATGAAATATGATTTAAATAGTCTTAGTCAGATGTTGGATCAACCAATATTTTGTGTTATATTTATTACAACTAATGTTGGGAACATAGGCAAAATTTGACTCCTTGTGATTTATCCATAAGAAAAAGATTCGACATACATTTCCTACAAAATTCCAAAGTTTCTCAATTTACATTCCAAGTAATTGAAAGCCCTATAAATAATATTATATTATAAATAATATTTCTTGTTAATCAAATCAAATGAAAGTTCTCCAAAAAAAAAGTTCCCTTCTTCACACATCCAGCAAGAGCCCAAAATGAGCTCGCTGGCATTTGGCCAACTGCCAACACGCTCCATGTGGGCCAAACAGTGGCTAATTGTTTATGCCGCTATCACAAGAATCTAGCTGACTTTTTCGATATTCGCCACGGAATCAGTTTTATATTAATGTGAGCTGTACGACGACTAAAAGTTTGTACAATTTCGATCTGGAACTTCAAACAAATGCCATAACAAATATATTGCATGTATCAAAAAACAAACTTACATTATTTAGTTTTTCTGTTTGTGATTTATTTGGACGCTATTTTCTCTCTAAGAATTTCTATAGAATTTCGCTCGTTGTTGGGGCCAAATGTTGTATTTTATTTATTTTCAAGCATTTTTCTTTCTTAAATAAAATGGCACCGAGTGGCGCTCAGTGCTCAGTATCAGACAAGCGATCGACGCGAGCGTTACGCTATAAAGGCGAGACGATTTTAAGTACACACATATAAATACGAAATATATATATGTACATATTTAGAAATATATAAATATATATGAGTGGGCATACATATATGCTAAACTATATAGACAAGAGCTGTGCAAAGTGATTTGTATATTGGCACCAAAGACAACTCGACGACGACGACGACGACGACGACGACTTCCTAATTATAATAAGAAAACAGAATTGAATGAGTCGCGTAGACAAATGGCAAAATAATCAAAGCAGCAAGAGGAAGCACAAGTCGTAGGGAAATCAAGTGTAGACACATAATTAGAACCTGACCTTCGCTGCGACATATTTATAAAAAACAGTCTATGTGGTATAACACTTGTGTCGACTGAACGAAGAAGCAACAAGTTTTGAAATTTCACGGGAGCTGTGATGAAATTCTCTGACTGAACGGGAAATGTGTGCTACGATAATAACTCGATGAAAAGCAGCATGCAAAACATGCGATAAAGCGTATGAAATAAACTTGACGAAACAGTAAAAGATTATATATAAAGCTGTTCTCTTTAACTTAATTGCTCTGGATTCTTAACGAAACTATAAACTGTCATTTGAACTGGAGGAAAAACTTAACGAAACTTCAATACATACCATTTAAAGGTCTTCCAATTTTGAAGTTTTCCATTACTTGACGAAAGTTGGCTAAAGTGCAAACTGAACGAATTTCGAAGCTTAGCTCTAATACGCAAATTCAACGAGCATCAACAATGGGCTATCGTATGAGAAAATATGTGAGATATATACGTATATGAGAGACATTCGTTAAATCTTGTGTATATAATACGCGTTGAATTATGCCCTGTATATGTATATCTGTTCTATCTATATGTGACTATACATATCATGCATATATCACTCACACGTTCGTCAAGCCCCGTTAATTGTTGTTAGACTCAACTGTAATACAGTAACATATATTTAACAGTGTTGTAAATTATCGTAAACTTAAATTGTCGGTCAGTGTCACAAACAGAGACACACATACAGGCATATATACATATATGTAAATATTAATACGACGATTCATCGAGCGATATTCACTCAACAGACGCACACACCCGCACACACTCACACTCTCCCTCTCTCTCGCTCTCTCTCTCACACAGACAGTGCGAAAGCGTCAGCCGATTTCTGCGCTATTTTTATGTGAATCAAAATAAATAACAAACTGTATTTAATCGTATATAAATTCGTATAACAGTGAGAACACTTAAAATATTTCGAAAACAAGAACATCAAATTGTTCGATCGGCCACTGAGTCAGTTCGCCTCCGCCGCCTGACATTGGAATACGTGTTCCAGTACGTCTGCCACGCCCCACTCTCTACTCTCTACTCTCCACTCTCCCACCTACCAATCTTCACTCACCATGTCGAATCAACCGAATCAGCCGCCTTGGCCCGTACGCAAGGGCATATTCCGTTCGAGCGGTCAGTCGGAGTTTGTGCCAACGCGTTCGCCCAGTCCCATCGTGGAGATGCCATTGTCGCCGCCGCCCGTCGGCTCGCCCGTCGGCCGTTTCGCTGCCCACAATAGTAGCCCGCTGTCGCCACCGCCGCAACCCATACAAGTGGTAGGCGGCGGCATGTCCACAACGTCCGCTGCCCGAATGTCGTCGGCTGCCTCGAGTTGCTCTGCCTCGGCTGCCAGCGCCTCGTCATCGTCGTCTTCGTCTAGCTCGAGTTCGAGTTCCAGTTCCAAGTCTCATACAAGAGTACGTAAAAGTTCTAATCCCCCTTTGCAGCCAGTCACCACCGTCCGCGCCCTTTCGCCACCCCACACAACCACTACAACAATGCCCAACAACAGCAGCAACAACAACAACAGCCACACAACAAGCAACAAAAATATACGCGAAATACCCATTGAGGTAGAGCAAAGCAAGGTATAACAGCTGGCCTAGCCCAAGTTCAATAATCTTAGCACAGAAATCAAACAATCAGTATATCAGTTTATTTTGTGCAACTGTTATACTCGTTGTATAACAGTGCTTGCCACTGTTATACTCAGCAATAGGAGCATGTAATTAGCAACGGCAACAAGCATTTACATATATAACTGTATATAACTGTTATAATCACCTCCCTTTCTAGCTAACTATACTTTATATATGTGTGTATACATCACTCTCTAACTGTTCTACTCTCGCATCACCCTGTGTAGGAGGCACTCTCGCTGCGCACCGGCGACATCACACAGCAGGCGAGCAACAAGGTGGCCGCCGCCAGTATTAAAGTGCAGAGCGACAACTTCTCCGCCGACAAGCAGGCCATCTCGCAGTCGCAGCAGTCGCAGACGATGACGTCGAATGGCATCATTAGCCAGGAGAAGCACGTGTCGTCGGCCTCGCAGGCCAACTACTCCATGACGCACAAGGGCGTGTCCAGCACGGGCAGCAGCATGATCTCTTCCTCCTCGCAAATGTCCGCCACCAATGGCCAGCTGATCAAGCTGAAGGATCTCAAGCTGGACGACCTGAAGTCCTTGACAGCCGGCAGTGGCCAGCAGGAGATCGAGCAGGCCATCAACAAGTATTCGAATGTGCTGACCTCGTTCGTTAGCTCCCTGCAAGACGACGATGACTCCAGTGGCTCCGGCGGCGCCGAGAAGTCCGTCTACCTGCAAAAGATCAACGAGGTGATCAAGCGCGCCTGGGAAGTGCCCACCCACGGCCACGAGTTGGGCTACTCCCTGTGCAATTCGCTGCGTCTCAGCGGCGGCCTCGATCTGCTCATGAAGAACTGTGTGCAGCACAACGAGCTGCAGTTCTTCTCCGCCCAGCTGCTCGAGCAGTGCCTGACCACAGAGAATCGCTCCCATGTCGTCGACAATGGCCTGGACAAGGTGGTCAATGTGGCCTGCGTCTGCACCAAGGAGACCAAGAACATGGAGCACTCACGCGTCGGCACCGGCATCCTGGAGCATCTATTCAAGCATTCCGAGGGCACCTGCTCCGATGTCATCCGCTTGGGCGGACTGGACGCGCTGCTCTTCAAGTGTCGCACCAACGATGTGGAAACTCTGCGGCATTGCGCGAGTGCCCTGGTCAATCTGTCGCTCTACGGCGGTGCCGAGAACCAGGAGGCGATGATCACGCGCAATGTGCCCATGTGGCTGTTCCCCTTGGCCTTCCACTACGACGACAACATCAAGTACTACGCCTGCCTGGCCATCGCTGTGCTCGTGGCCAACAAGGAGATCGAGGCGGAGGTGCTCAAGTCCGGCTGCCTGGATCTGGTCGAGCCGTTTGTCACCACACACGATCCATATCAGTTCGCCAATTCGAATCTGTCCCATGCCCACGGCCAGAGCAAACATTGGCTGGAGCGGCTGGTGCCGGTGCTCAGCTCGAATCGCGAGGAGGCACGCAACCTGGCCGCCTTCCACTTCTGCATGGAGGCGGGCATCAAGCGCCAGCAGAACAACACCGACATCTTTCACGAGATTGGCGCCATCGAGGCACTCAAGACTGTGGCCAGCTGCCCCAATGCGATCGCCTCGAAGTTTGCGGCGCAGGCGCTGCGTCTGATTGGCGAGACGGTGCCGCACAAGCTCTCGCAGCAGGTGCCGCTGTGGTCCGTCAAGGACGTACAGGAGTGGGTGAAGCAGATCGGCTTCAATGCCTATTTGAGCCAGTTCGAGAAGTCGCAGGTCGACGGCGATCTGCTGCTGAAGCTCAATCCCGACGATCTGCGCAACGATATTGGCATTTCCAATGGCATCCTGCTCAAGCGCTTCGAACGTGAGCTGCAAAATCTCAAGCGCATGGCCGACTATTCATCCAAGGACACGGCGAAAATGCATCAATTTCTCGCCGAGATCGGGCCCGACTACTGCACCTACACGTACGCCATGCTGAACGCTGGCATCGACAAGAACACCCTGCCCCACATCAACGAGGATATGCTGATGACCGAGTGCAACATCAAGAATAGCATTCATCGCCTGCATATTCTCAGCGCGGTCAAGAATCTGGAGAACTCGCTGCCAAGCTCATCCGAGGAGAATATGGCCAAAACGCTGGACGTTTTCGTCAGCTACAGGCGCTCCACCGGCTCTCAGCTGGCCAGTTTGCTAAAGGTGCGTTGCTGACTTGTTTAGTAAGCGAAAGGACTTGTCTAATGCTGTCTCTCTCTTTCTCTCTCTCTCTCTATCTCACCTTTGCAGGTTCATCTTCAGCTGCGAGGATTCTCCGTGTTCATTGACGTCGAACGTCTGGAGGCAGGCAAATTCGATAACGGTCTACTCAACAGTATTCGCCAGGCAAAGAACTTTGTCTTAGTATTAACACCAGACGCACTGCATCGCTGCATCAACGATGTCGACTGCAAGGACTGGGTGCATCGCGTAAGTAACCTACTCTCTCTCTCTCTCTTCTTCTCTGTCTCTCTTTCTGATACTGATATATATACGCCTTTTCTGGTTTAGGAAATTGTGGCTGCTTTGGAGTCGAACTGCAATATCATACCCATTATGGATCAGCAGTTCACGTTCCCGGACAACCTGCCCAGCGACATGTGCAGCGTGGCCCACTTCAATGGGGTCAGCTGGATACACGACTACCAGGACGCATGCATCGATAAGCTCGAAAGGTATATAACCGGCGCCATTCGGACTAAAGGAATGCTGACCAAATAGTGCCACAAACCCCATTCCCCTCTCTCTCTCTCTTTACCTTTTTACCTAAGTTAGTCAGTTAATTTAATGAAACATTCGATTAGTTTAAGTGCAATTAATTTATTCCGTTAAACTCGATCCTTAATTCAATATCAATCTCAATACATTACCAAACTTAATTTTCCGTTGCGGCAGATTTTTGCGCGGCGAAAAGAATGTCGATCGCATTGCGGCGATGGCGCCTGGTACGCCCGGCGTGGCGTCTTACCAAAGAATGCACAGCAATGATTCCGACTATCAGCAGAGTGGTGCAGGCGGAGGCGTTGGAGGTGGCAGTGGCAGTGGCAGCGGCAGCGGCGGTGGTGGCGGCGCAGGCAGTGTGGTGGATGGCCTAATGACGGCCAATGGCAGCGGACAAGGTGGGCCAACGAGTACAGCAACAGCTGCAAATCAGAGTCAGAGTGCGGGTTCGAATCCGAATCCGAATCCGAATGCGAATGCGAATTCGAATGCCAATTCAAATCCGAATTCGAATACCAATCAGACCCAGCTACAGCGTAGACTAGGCCATCGAGACCACTTAGGCTAGCCTCGAATATACAGCATCCAGCATATGTTTAAGCAAGACAGAGAGGAAGATGATGATGATGATGATGATGATGATGATGATGATGATGAATCCTCAATATGGAAACAACCTCAGGCGGGACTGTCCAGAGGGCCTATGTCTCCCTCTCTCTCACTCTCACTCTCTCTATCTTTAGTATACCGCACACTCACACACACACTCAATCACTCACACACATACCTACATAACTCTCTATCTACTCTACTCTACTCTAATCTAAGCAAACCAACTTAATTATTAATCAATTTAATTTTGATTGCAAACTCGAAACTCGATAATTCACGAGCAGCTAATCACCAGGCAAATAGATACCGGCAATCCCCCTCACCGGCTCGCCAGCGCGGCAGCACCTCCCTCTTGAGCTATGGGCGTGGCCAGGCGAAACGCTCCAACATCCTGCCACCGTATCGCACACAGCAGGCGGCGCTGCTGCACAAGTCTGGCGCCGGCTCCGCCTCGATGCAGAACATCATGCCGCAGCCGTATGCGCCGCCGCGGCGCAGCTCTGCGGCCGGCCTGGTGCACAATGCGAGCGTGGCCAACGGCTATCGGTCGCACAGCGTGGACGGGCTGCTGGATCAGGCGGCGGCCGAGGCGGCCAGCAGCAGTCAGGATAGCTTGAGCACGCCCGAGCAGCGCATAGCGAAGGCCGCTGCCATGGTGACCGCCGGCAGCACGGCGCTGACCAATGCCAGCTCGACGTGCACGCTGCAGCCGGAGGACGAGTCGCAGCCCGAGGAGGAAGTGTGCCCGGTGACGCGACGGGAGAAGCAGAGCCTGGCCCCGCCCAATGTGCAGCAGCATCGCAAGTCGCGCAGCCTGGACCACATCCTGTCCAAGCAAACGCTGGCCGAGCTCCTGCCGCCCAGCAGCGAGCTCACCGACGAGACCCAGAGCATGCAGAATCTGGCGCTGCCGCCGACGCCGCAGCCGCAGCGACGCGATGCGAGCAGCTCCTCCAAGTCGCCGACGCCAGAGCGGCCCATGCAGCGCACAGCCGCCTCCAATCGCCAGAGCCCGGACGGAGTTAGCTCCACGGAGAGTGAGCGCGAGGATGCGCAGTCGCTGAGATCGCAGGCATCGGGCCAGCACGGCAATCAGCAGCGGGCGGCGGCGCATGTGCATCGCGGTGGCAGCCAGAATAGCAATAAGACGTCCAACTCATCCCTCGGATCGAACAATAGCGCCAGCAATAAGACGATCTTTAATCGTACGATGAAAAAAGTGCGCTCGCTGATCAAAAAGTAAGAACAAACGCAAAAGCAAAAGCAAATGCAATTGTGAAATGCGACAGATGATTCGCTAGTTCGACTAGTCACTCGCTCGCTACTTCCATTCGTTATTTCCTAATACACATTCTAATGCACATGCCACAAACTGTCTGATAACGCCTTTCACACAACTTCACACTAAATTTCTTGACTCGCTTCTTGCTGCTCGTTGCATTTGTGCCATCTATCTAAAACAAACGAATCTCATGCATCATACATACCTTAAATACACGCCTTACACTCTCTACCTACCCGGGCCCAGTTACACTACCCCTCGCTCTCTCTCTGTATCTCTTGTATGTCTCTCTCTCTCGCTTTCTTTCTCTCTCTCTCAGTGGTGTTGGTATTCGCTCGCTATATTTAATTATCTCTCGTAGCTCGTTGGTTTTAAGACTCGTTAAGCTTAGCATCCACTAAAAACTTGCCTGCGTTGCCCCCGTTACAAAACTTCTTGAACGCCCCTCTTTGACTCCAACAAAAATGAAAGTCTAAATCTATTTGCCTTGTGATTAGTAAAAAAAAAATTTAAAAAAAAAAATCGAATTTAAATTGCAAAAAAAAAAAAAAAAAATTAATTTATAAACTACTCTTTACGACTGCGCACATAAATTAAAATTAATTTGTATAAACAATTACAAAACAAAAACTAAACTAATTTTAAAATACAAGAAACAAAAATACAAAAAACTCTATTAATTTTAGTTACGTCTAATATTTATTATCCAAAATTGTAAAATTTCTATTCAAAATACATTTTTTTTCTTATAACCGTCCGAAAAAAAAAAATATAACAAAAAATATTTAAGTGATAATTAAAAATACAAAAAAAGAAACGATTTAAACAAATCCAAGCCGAAACTAAATGCTGTACAATATTTTATAATTTAGCAAACGAGACTTAAGGCATAATTTTTATTGATTTTTGCAATATATATAGCTATACATACGAAATATTATTAACGAAATAGTGCCTAAACATTGGATTAGTCTTAAATAAAATGTGAATCATTCAAAGCATTATTGTGTCTTATTGTCTAAATGCCCCAATCTCATGTGATATATGCGACCTCCTCTAACAGCCATACCCAAAAACTATATCATATGCATGTTCATTTCCTGTTCTACATACATACATATATAGTAACTATATATGCGTATCTTTATGTTTTCTTTGTGTTCTTGTTCTTGTCTAATATTCGTTGTTTGTCATTCAGTTAAACTGAATTCTAATTTTTAATGGGTTTCATCCATATTTTTCTCTTATTTTTTTTTCTCTTTTTATTTTGTTTGTTTTCTTTTTGTAGACCATAAAAGCGCAATTTGTTGTACTTGTTGTTATTGTTGTGGCTGTGGCCTTGCCCCTGCACATATCCGATTCGAATTCAAGAACTCAAGAACTCATCATTCTACACATCCAAGAAACTGTCAACGCATCACAGGGTGATTCGTCGTCCAGCTGTTGCCACCAAGAAATAAACAAACAAACAGAAAAACAAAAAACATTCATTGTTATTTATTACCAAATCAATAATCAATAAATGTGTATATGTATATATGTACACAAAACAGACTAACTAACTGTTTTTAATGTATATATTACAATTGCTCTGCACTACATATATTATAGCAACGAACTGGAGGACACTGAACTCTCCGATATTATCCTGTCCAAGGCAACATCTCCAAATGCTGGTCGCATGATATTTTGGTAGCTCTACGAATTATTCGAAACATGTTAAACTAATTAAAATACTCGACGATTTTCTATGAATGTACTCGAAAAAAAAGAAAAGCGAAACAAAAAAAAATTGAAGTAAAACTTATTTTTATGTAAATAAATCTAAATAAATTTAATCATTCCAGGCTGATCTATGACAATCGGAGGTATAAACATAAAAAAACATATATTCAAAGCTTTAAGTCCCAAACTTTTACTGGTGTTTAGAGGGTTTAGGATCCCTGAAATATTATTATACGGCTACGGTATAATACAGGCAAGTAAGGAATTAAGTAGCATGGGCCAACCAATGCCTTTTCAAGGTATCGGCAGTGGGTCTTGGCTTGATTGGAATATGAATTTAACACTAAATTGACATCAGGTATACGATACTCCCACAACGCAACCAACTGCAACCTTGCCCAACCTCAGACGCATTGTTGTTCTCAGTCGTATGATTAAATTCTAAAGTATTGGTGTGACCTTTAGCTCCCATAAGTATGAATGCTGTCCCGATTCTCTTCGTCTCAAACGCTAAGCAACTTCGTGATGCGATGGGAATTCTAAGACGCCTTATTTAACCGAGTGCATAAAAACGAACAGGCTGACAGACTGAGAGACTTACATATGCCTGCTCAGCATATCATTGTCTTTATGTCGACTCTCCTGCCTCAGTCTCTACATTCAATATACCCAATTAGTCCATCTCTAGCTATTAGACGTTTCGCATTGACAATGTAAGTAGGCTTTGCGTTCAGCTTGCTGTCTGAGATTTATTTACGCTCAATTCGTTAGTCGAAGCCAATATTTCGTAACGTTGAAATACATTTTGTCGGAAACAAGAAATTAGACCTACATTTTTTTTTTTTAATTTTTATAGGAGCTGAGGACCTTGGAGTAGACAGGATATCATAAAATTCAGTGCCATGTTGATCGTGGAGCCTTCTGACGAATTAGTCCTGGAGGGACCATTCAATCGTGCCGTTAGCAAGAAAATTATGGTATACAATCCGAGCAAGCAGAAGCGCATTGCGTTCAAATTGAAAACAACAACGCCGCGCTTGTTCTTCGTGCGCCCCAATGTGGGTCTGGTTAAGCCCGAGGAGAGGATTACCATTGATATCTTCGTCCATCCGATTTCCAATGATATCTATGCGCACCGCCATAAGTTCATGATGCAGGCCGCCGATGCCACCGATCCAATTGGGGACTTGCACGAGTTCTGGAAGAATATCAGTCCATCAACCATCTGGGATACCAAACTCAAAGTCAAATTGGTCGATAGCCAGATGGATGGCCTGCAAAAGATGTATTCAGATAATTCTGTGGGCAATGGGGAGCATCAAGAAAAGGATAACACGGACTCAATGACACTCAATCTAATAGATAAGGTGCATGTGCTGGAAGAGGATCGCCTACATTTGATACAACAGGTGGAGACCATCACCAAGCAAAAGGACGAGGAGCGCGAGCTACTGGCCATGAAGCTGCAGAAACAAAAGGGCAATGGTTTCTGGATATTCATGGCGACAGTTGCTGTTGTGCTAGCTGCCCTAATAGGTGGTTGGGTCGCTAAAAAATTCATGTAAAACATTAGTGTACACATACACACGCACATACACATTATATATGATATTAATACAATGGACACTTTAAATAAAATGGACAGGCGCCAATTTGTTGAGGCATTCAAAATGCAACAACTATGCAACACTGGCGGTTTCATGAATTCGATTTAGGCATGTGGCAGCGCTGCTGTGCACAATTCGGCGATGTGGCAACGCCATTGTTTACGCGCAGCTATAGCAACCAGCGGTGGGCACGCTTCAATTTGGCATTTAAATGTCGGAATTGTCACTCTTTTCACTTTTCACTTTTCGATTTGAATTGATTCAATCAATCATGTTGTAATGAGTGATACCGATACAGATGATACAGATCTGTTGCTGCTAATACCGCCCAATTACTATATACCTCGGCAGGACAAGATGAGTGCAGCTGCCGAGGCAGATGCACTTGCTATGCCGCCGCCGCCGCTGCCGCCGCCAGCGTCTACGACAGCTGCGTATCAGTTTCTGATGCCTGACAAAAAGTCAGAATTGAATCAGATAAATGCGCGTTTGCAAAACATGGAGCTGGAGCGCCAGGAGGAGCAGCGACGCTTTGATGCGCCTTCGGATCTATCCACAATCTCATCGAGTACAGTGCGCACTGCCTTGAGCAGTCGACCGCAACGAGAGCTGCACGGCATGGCACACTCGACGCCCAAGGGTGGTAATCGGCTGGAGGAGAACATACTCCAGGAAATCGATAACTATCTGGACGACAACAATGCCTGGCACCAGCAGCAGCACCAACACCCACACCAGCATCAGTACCAGCAGCAACACCTGCATCAGCAGCAGTATCAACAGCTGCAGCAGCATTACAGCGATGATCATTTGCGCATGCGTGGCTATTCGACGCCGGCGCATGAGTCGCAGCCAACGGCCACGTCGTTGCCTAGCATACGACTGGGTGCGTCACCTTCAATGGCCAACGAAAAACTTATTAGTCTAAGTGAGCTGTGGGGCAAAAGCCATCTGGCAGGCACAGTCATAGCAAACAATATGTCTGGACAACAGGGCATACCTGCGCTCAAGGAAGAGCAGCTGCGCCGCCAGCACCTGGAGAAGATGGTACAAACACTGCAGGCACAGATGCTGGAGTACCAGCAGCGCATCTCGGTGGCCATCGAGGTGGATCGGTCCAAGGACTGCGCCCTGCAGCAGGCGGAGCAGCAACTGAAGACGCTCAACTTTGAGGTTCAAAATATGCGCGACTCGGTGCATAAACTGGAGACGGAGCGGAATGACGCCCATGGCAAATGCGAGTCGTTGCAGCATGAGTTGTCCCAGGCTGTGGGCTTGGCTACTAAGTTTCAGGAGAAGACAGACAAACTGGAGGCCGAGTTGGAGCGGGCCAAGCGTCAGGCAAGCGAGACAGCGCAGAAGCTCGAGCAAGTTGAAATGCAGCTGCAGAGCAGCAAGCGCTCCGAAGAGCTGTCGCATGCCGAGCAGAATAAGCTGCGTGATAAGTTCGCCAAGGCTGATTATCAAGTGGAGAAGGTATTATCGAATGCCTCTATCTACTCTCCCCACTTATCTAAAGAAGTGTCTTTTTTCTTCCTACAGCTCAAAGCTCGCATAGAAGATCTAGAAAAGGAGAAGTCCACGCTGCAACACCAAAAGGAAATGCTGCAGGAGTATCATCAGAAGCAAAAGTCGCGCGCAGATAATCTGGAATTGCAGCGCAAATCCATGCAAGAGGCGCTGGCAAATCTAACCGACACCGAGGTGGCTATCAAGCAGTTCATTTGAGTGACTCATGTTTAATTCCAACCTTCTTTCAGACAAATCTCAAGAAAAAGATGGAAATTCAGCAGAAATCCTTGAAGCAATATTACCAGCAGCAAATGGAGAATGTGGTGGCCAAAAAGCTGCAAGAGTTTCAAGTGCAGCTGGACAAATCGGAGGAGAACCTGAAGGCAGAGGCACGCGAGCGTGAACGTCTGATAGCCGATCGAGCAGTCAAGCAGCTGGAGATGATCAACGAGAAGAACAACCAGGAGTTGAATCTCGTACAGGAGAAGCACAATGAGGAAGTGGAACTGTACCGTCTGCAGCTGGCCAATGCATCCAAGAAAATAGACGAGCTGGAACTCCAACTTAACTGCTACAAGACTAAGCGGTAAGTCAGATTATAAAGATGATATAAAAAGACCATTCTATAAATACTTGGTCTCTTTTTGCTTCCAGTGCGGATATTGCGCAAAAGCTGCATGGTGTAATGGAGGCACAGTGGCAACAGGCATTGGCCATACTTACCTCGCCCAATCAGACGTTTCAGTCGTTGGCAAGTGGCGAGACGACTGACAGCGAGTCACCGGATCTGAACAACGCACGTCATTATCCCGAAACGCCCAAGTCAAGCAAAACTCAAGCCAGCAACAACACCGAGAAGAATAATCTGGATACGGAGGCCAAGAAGGATCCACCATCACCCGTGGACAAGCTGCAATCATACATTGAGCTGCTGTTGAGCAAATCGCCAAGTGATCTTGATAAGCTCGATAAGATTCTCTCCATGAACACCAAACAAAACGCCAAACCACAGAAGCGCAACTCCAACACCGGCTCGAAGCCGCCGCCCTGGAAGTCCTGATATATATAATTATAATTCATTTGTATTAAATAGTTCGATAGTCTGATCTTTAATGTAGCCACATGTATGTGACATATTTTCGTAAACCATTTTACTTTGAAGTTGTGAAAGTAAATTGTTTTATATTTGCGAAACAAATTTATTGCTCATTCATAATTGCAACAGTTTAAGGCAGCGCAGCAAACTTCTTAAGCTGCCAAAGCATTTTAGCCATAAATGAAAAAACAAACAAAAATTGCATAACTTATAAAAGTTGTTTGGTAGAAAAGTGTATTTCAATAGCTTTATGTACCTATGGCTATAAAACTAATATGTGAGTGTGTATATGTATTTAATTGAAGCCGGTCGTTAGTTACAGAATGGAATTCCACGTGACTTGGGCTCGATATCATTTTGATTCTTCAGCTACTCTGGTTTATGTGTCTGTCATTGATATGCTTTGAGTTTAATTGTAGGTTTAGTTTACGGCTGTTTACTTATAAACAATTTGAGGAAACTTTGGCGCGTTGCCGTAGAGACCCTCCGATTCCCAAACCTGGATGTGGGAGTCCTTTGTTAACACCACCAAGTGCTGATGCGTAGAGTAAATTATGCTGCAAGTAAAAAACCTTGTAATATGTTCTCTATTTAAGTTGGGATTCAACTAACCTGTGAATGGGCGCCGTGCCAGTTGTTAGTTCGCTGACGAAACTCAAATTCCAACTCGACCAGAAGCGGACGAAGCCACCCTCCACAGCGGTGGCTATGACATTGACGCCGACGCCTTCCTTGATGTAGGAATAGCACACAGCCTGGATGCGGTCCTCGTGCACCAGGTGCTGTACGTAGCGGGCGTTGACCGAGTGCAGACGGAGTATGGATTTGCCATTGGGATTGATGTTGACGTTGACAAAATCATCCAGGCTCTCCTCCGTCACCTCGAAGCATTCGTCCGCTGCACTCTGCTTAGCGAGTGATGCTGCTGCGTTGGCATTTATTGGCTGCTGGGGCATTGTGTGCACGGTGACTATGTCGCCCAGGGTAGGACTGATGGCCACATGCGTGATGGGCGACTGATGAATCTCCGCAGGACGTGCAATAGTGCGAACATAGCTCCAGCTGAGGGTAAGCAATTAGTTAGTGAACCTGTTTAGCTATCCTATCGATTAACTTACTCATTTAGATCCCAAATGACGGCAATGCCGTCACGTCCAGCGGTCACAGCGATTTTAAATTCCACGGACAGTGCAATACAAGTGATCTCATCCGTGTGCCGCACCAGAAACGTGGGACCCAGCCAGGTTAGGTCAGCACCATCGCGCTGCAGTGCATCGCCGTTGCAGGAGACTCCAGAGGAGGACATAGAGGCAGACGAGTTGGTGGCATGCAGATTGCCCGAGTCATCGGATGCTTCAGCACCAGATCCAGAGCCTGTGCTCTTGGTGGTCATCTTGCGAAATGCTGAATTATAGGATAGACGCAATCCACGCACATAGCTCTGACGACTCTTGGTGGTCGTGCGCTGGTGGCCATCTATGCCGCTGGCGCATTTGTAGACGCTAATGCGTCCGGATTTGTGGCCAAACCAGAGCTGATTCGAGTTCACATCACAGCCACAAGCACTGATGTCATCGAAGCTGTCATTATATAGCAGATTCTTGGGCTTCGCTTGTGGCTTGTTCAGCGGCTGAATGCGCACAATGCGATCGTCGTAGCCCCAGGAAATTACATTATAGGTGTCGGGCTCGGCGCCCTGCATAACTCCCGCTCGCGCCGGCAAGGCATAGACCACATTCGTGTTGCTGAAGCTGACAAGATGCTCGGTGCCTGGTATTTTGTGTATGATGGCCCACGACGGCGCCTTCAGCTGCGGCGAGCCCACGTAGACGCCCCAACGCAATCCTTTCACACTGGGCACAATGGGCGTGTCCACTAGAGCATAGTCCAGCGCTTTGGTGGAGGGATGTGGCGACTTGAACAGCTGGCGTGGCATCTGCCCATAGGTCTTCACCATAGTCTTGACTGCCTCACGTTCAATGGGATCGCTAATCTCAGAGTCGAGGAAAACGGCATAGGTCTGAAAAGAGCAAAATGATAATCGGAATATGGAAAACTTAAGCAACCAACTCACCGCTGGATGGAACACATTAATGGCCTCAACAGCGCTCTCTCCTGTTTGCTTATAGCCAAAAATTAGATCGATCCAATGATGCAGCTCATTGCGAACCAGCTCCGATTCCAGCGCTTGCCGATGGATGAGCACAAAGAGACGCGGATCTCGCTGGCACCAGGCGGGCAGTGTGACATCTTCAACCCTTTCGCCATTTTGACGACAGCCGAAATTGAAGCGCTCAAAATTCTCAAACATTTCAGGCAGGCAAAAGAACTCTGGTATGAGTTCCTTCACATCCGTGGAGCTATCCTGGCTGGCCAAGCAATACGTGGTGTGCAGTGCGTGGAAAGTACGATCCGGCAGGTCAAAGTTATTGTCTGTTATGGAGCAGAATTCGATTAGTCCAAGAGTGAATTACTGAGTGAATTCAAATTACCTTGATAGCGCAGAAAGTAGCTGGTGAAAGGCGGCACTCGCACCAGAAAGTGCAGCACGGTGCCAGAATTTGAGTAGTGGGAGCTATAGTGATACGGCTTCAGGATCAATGAGCCCATGTTCGTATTCGTGCTTTCGATGTACTGTGAAATATATATGAATTAATATCTAATCGACATTTCCTTAATCTGCTTTACTTACCGCATAGTTGTTTATGTAGTGCTGCTCGTTCTTCTCCAGCTGCACCGCAATGGGTCGCGAGAGTCGTCGAAAATTTTGCGCTTGGCGCAGATCTAGGCACTCGGAGCTGTAGTTGGCCAGCACCCAGGGAAAGACTGGGTACTGCATGAGATCGTTGTAGGTGCGTCCAGCTATCTGATTGAGTGTCATCAGATACTCCCAATTGGTTAGCAGGCCCTCGCGCCACTGTTGCGTTATGGCCAGCACTTTGGAGTTGTCCGGCATGGTTACAATTTTATCACAGAATACCTCGCGCATTATCTTCCAGTCATCGGCGTTTTGCAGGGAAAAGAACAGCGATTTGTTGCTGTCCAGCAATATCTCAAAGGCCTTCTCCTGGTGCTGGTAGCGCTTCAGCCAAATTTCAGTTATGTTCGATATATCACAGTTCACATTAAAGTATTTACAACGATATGTGGCCAGAAAATAGAGCTTCAGATCGGTTATAATTATCTCGCCATCGATCTCACCATCGACGGGCAAAAATTTTGCCGCAAAATTATAGAGTATTTGCGAATTGAGTGATATATTCAATTGCTGATCGTAGCTGGCTATCAAATAGTCCAGCGGACGCACATATTGATCCTTCTCCTCGCGTTGACCCTGCCCGGGGCAGTAGTCGTTCATAAAGAATCGCCGATCTATATCCAAATGGCAGCGCCGCAAACGTGTGTGAACACGCGATGGCCCCTCCGTGTCATCCAGCTCCCAGGAACTGCAATAATACCGATTAGTGGACTTTAGATAATAGGTGAAGTCATTCACTTACCACTCAGCACGCTCATTGCAGTACCAGGGCGCGCCCTCGTGGGTCATCCGGCGTATTATCTCCAGCCATTTGGTGTAGGTGTTTGTGTCATCATAGTCCTTCATGTGGCACATGAGAAGCTTTCGCTCCGCATTCTGTTGACAATTAAAAGTTAAACAAGTTCATCAACAATCATACCTAGGCATCTCACCTGCAGCTCTGCCACGCGCCTGGTGGTCACCATGGAGGTCTCAATGCAGTGCTGCACGAGCGGCTCGAACTTGTAGAGCGTCTTCTCCAGCAGCTGCTTCTGCTTGGCTGCCACAGTGCTGCGATTTAGCTCCAGGCGCTCCAGCTCGTGCTCCAGGTTCCATGTGGAATCATTCTCGTTGATGCCCAGCGCCTTGCATAGATTGGGTAAGTTCTCTATGGGCGGCTTCACATCCTCCATCAGGCTGAGCCACAGCAGCGCCTTGATCATCTTCACATCGCATATGATTGAGGACTGGAACTCGTCCTGGCATGTGCGCCACAGTGCATCAACAATGTAGGCGCGCAGATCGCGGGGACGCGACGGCTGCAGACCCCAGGCAATGAAGTTGTTGCAGCGCTGATTGTTGGCTATGCCAAAGGAGACGAGCAGCTCGAACAGAGCCAGCTCCTGGCTGCTGGCCACATAGTTGCTGCCGTTGGTCTGACTGCCGCCTGTCGTAAAGAACTGGGTGCAGCGATCAATAAGCAGCTCCATGCGCGTCCGGCACTCCGACTGGCTGAGCGAGCAGTCGGACAGGCTGCTGCGCAAGCGATAGCCATTGCTGCAGCCACTGCCAGTGCAGGTCTCGAAGAACAGGTTGAGCCATTGGAGCTGCAGCTGAGCTTGCACAGCACGGAAACTGCGCACAATCAGCGGCGGCTGTTTGTCCTGGTAGAAGGCCAGCATGTTTAAGATGTCCCACACAAGCTGTAATAGCAGATAATCAAATTTAGATCAGGGTCACAACTGATTACGAACGGCCACTCACATTGATTTGCCCCACAGATTTGAGCGCTCGCTCGCCAATGCCATTCAGCAGCTCCACAATGGATTGATCCATATTGGGTTGGCCTAGGTGCAGCGTATAGAGCTGGTGCAGCGCCTTGACGGTGCACTGCAGCAGACCCGCCTCCACGAGGCTTAGCTGCTCCTCCGGATTCTGTAAAGGGACGGAGAAGAATGAGCATGAGACTCAACAGAATGCCATAAGCAATCCACTCACCTGTAGGTAGAGCCGCAACAGCGCCTTGAACACGCGTTGCGGTTCCGAGTTCCAGCTGCTGTTGCCCAGAGCCATCGAAATGGCTAACAAGGACTGCAGCCCGAAGCGCTGGCGTATGCCCAAAGCGACATCAGAGCTAATCATGTCTGTGAGACTGCCATGCAGATCGCTGACCCAAGAGAGACATGCCTCAAACATAGCCACATCGCTGGCATGAATGGTCAGCTGATTGGCCAGATGCAGCGGATATAGCTGCTTCGAGGCAGCGACCAATTCCGCTGGAGCCAAACGCTTGGTCAGCACCGCCAGCAGCTGAATGATGGCGGTGCGCACGGCGCAGCTGCGTTGATTGGCCAGCACCAGAAGGAATTCGATTTTCACATAATGACGCAGCACCTCGTCCACGGCAGAGTCGGGCAGCAGGCACAGGAAGTCCTTGAGCAACATAAGCAGTCGCTGCTGCAGCGTCACGATGCCCATCTGATCGTAAAAGTCGGTTTTGCGACTAGGCAGCGGTGATACGTGCGTGGCGCTTGGCGTGCTGTGGACCGCAGGTTGCCAGGGCCTCGGATGTGTATGGGCGCGTCTGCGGGCGACCTTCAGGGGACTGCGTTTGGGGCTATGCTTGGGGCTTTGGCTGGGGCTGGGATAGCGACGCTTGAACTTGATGCGCCAGCGTGTCGCCTCCACAGGGTTCAGCAGACGCAGTGCAGCCTTGTTGAGATTGGAGCAGTCGGCTATAAACTCCAGTTGATCCTCCATTTCAGTGAGACCCCGTCTGTAAGCGGAGGCGGTGTCGTGCAGTCGTCGCAGCCGTCGAATCCGCTCTGCGCGCTCTGCGTCGACCTCTTGGACGGGTGGTTGTGCCTGCCGTCTAAAGGATGTGGTCACGCGGCTTAAATTGGCAACCACCACCGAGCGTTCCTTTACTGGCATCTGTGGCGTCAGCAGAAAGTAAAAATACGTTCGATCATGCGTGACATAGCACTCGCTTGGTCTGTGGAGCAGCAGCAGCAGCTTCATCATTTCATCCAGCAATGAAGGCGCTGGCGGAGAGCCGGCAAAGACGGCCAAGATCTGGACAAAGCACTCGGCGGCATAGGGCGATATGTGCACCGGACTGGGCGACTCAATGACATAAACCTTGCACAGATTGAGCAGCGCACGCAACAGGCCAGACTTTTGCAGCTGCTCCATGTTGAAGTCGCGCTGCGGATGCTTGTCCCGGCTGAGGGCCAGAATGCAGCGGAAGAGCATGTCCAGCACATCGGAATGTGTGGCCCCAGAGCGATGCCAGTCCGAGTAGCGCTGCAGCACAGCGAGCAGCAGACGCGGATAGATCAGCGTGGCCGTCGTATTATCGTTCACGTGCAGCACGTCGCCCTTACGGCTGATCACCGGCTGGGAGCAGGCATTGTTGACAATGCTGCGCAGCAGCTGTACATCCTTGGAGCAGCGCTCCGACTTGATGACATACCCAATGAGCGCTAGATAATCCTGACGCTGAAACTCGGTGTACAGCTGGGCATCCGAGTGGGCCAGCTGCAGCAGCAAATCCAGCGCCAAGGCTTGGGTGGTGGCTGTGCTGGAGACCTCCACAATCTGGGCGAAATCAAATTAGTTAAATCTCCTTCAAAATCAAATAATCTGCAGCTTACTCTGGCAAAAAGATACAGCATGGTCGACAGGCCGCCACTGAGCAGCACCGCCGTTTGCAGCGTCTGCGGCTGATGCTGCAGCAGCTCGCCGTAGAGCATGTGGCCCTGGGGCTGTCCATAGCAGGCCATGTCCAGCTCCTGGCTGACATCGTGGCACATGACCAGATCCGGCTGCTGGGCTGTGTAGACCAGGACGCGCGCCTGTCGCAGCACCTTCATGCAGTCCGCGTGGCTGCCAAAGTTGCAGGTGGACAGCTTGCCCACCTGCACGTGCCCATAGTTGGGCTTCCAGTTGGCCACCTGACACTGGGTGAATTCGGTGAAGTCCGGTCCCATAGCTGTCAGATTGATCATCAGATTCTGATCGTCCAGGCGACGCTTGAAGAGCACCACATTGGACAGCGCATAGCGCGGCGCACTGCCATCAAGAGTGGAGCGCGAGGAGCTGCTGTTGCTGACCCCATTCTTCGCGGCTATGCCCTCGCCCAGAGCCAGCATCTGGAAGCTGTGATTGCGCGAGGCAAAGCGCAAGTTGTGAAAGGGCAGACTTAGGGTCTGCTGCTCCAGGCCATCGATAAAGACGCCCACTTGCAGACCATCGGCCTGCTGCTGCAACGCAAAGACCAGATGCGTCCATTTGTTGCGCGGCAGTCGCGGCTGCTGCAGCTGCACGCTGGCGCCGTCGCTGTAGCCGCCAGTCTCGTGGCCCGCCTGATTGCCGTTGAGCAGGTGCATCTGGCCGAAGCTGTTGAGCAGCGCCATTTTGGTTTGCTTCAGAGCATGACGGAAGCTGCCGCTGTTCGACTGCGACGGCAGTTCGCTGTTGGTGGCCTCCATGTGCTCCTCGACGCGTGCCGGCAACGGTTCATTGGGTCGCACCAGCTCGAAGATTAGCTGCAGATTGTGGCTGATGTAGATACTAAGCATGGCGGCGCTGCTGCCCAGCGAAACGAGATGGCATCTCTAGAGTGGAGGGAGCTGGTCAGTGGAAAATGTGGAGCAACTGAAAGACTCTACTCACTGTTGAGTCCTCGCCCGAGTAGCGCGTCTCATCATCGTTCAGCTGTGTGAAGCTGCGATTCGTTTGCTGGCCCTTTACCTCCAGCCAGAGCGAGAGCGTCAGCCCCTCCGGCTGCCAGAGGCGCGTCTGCGTCACGGGCACAATGCAGGCGGCACGAGTAAACAAAGTCGTCGCCTGGCAGCGCTGATGCTGCAGGCGCACGCGCTCAATCTGCTCGCTGAGGAAGGGATCCGCTGTGATGACGATTTTCCCATCGATCGCAATGGGAAACTCCAGCTCCATGCAGGGCTGAGCACGGCGCAGGCCGCCAGCGCAGATGTGATGCATGTGCCGCATCAGCAGCTCCACCGGCGGCTGCTTGCTGGCCAGGATGCCAAAGTAGCAGTTGAGCACGTCTGGCGTATTCAGATGGCTGATGAGCTCCAATATGGATTGCTGCAGCTCTGTGGGAGTGCACTTGATGTGAGATAATTCTATTTACGAATAATCCGCCTTACTCACCTCGCAATTTGGCATCACTGCTGCTCAGCACAGGCGCAAATCCTCTCAGCAGGCACAACGGTCCACCCAGATAGTCGCGAATGACAAACAAGCGATTGGCCAATTGCGTGAGGCTCTCTGTCCAGCCGGCTGGCTGGCGCATGCAGATCAGCGACAGCTCCACCAGCATCTGCACCACCAGCTGGCTCAAGCCCTCGTGCATGATGTGGCTGCGATAACGTGAAGAGGGCAGGAAGGGTGTCCACGATTCGTTGGCCACCGCACCGCCGCCATTCAATTCGCATTCGGATTCGCTCAGCTCAGCTATTTCGCCGTCTGCCTCGTAGCCCTCGTCGGCCGTCAGATAGAACTCCTGCTCGTTCTCGCTCAGCTCCAGTTCGCTGTCGGCGGCACAGCTGAGCGAGGCGCGTGTGGAAAAGTAATCCGCATCTCCAATGGCAGCATCACTCGAATTGGGTCGCCGTCGCGGGGTGGGCGGTGTGGCCAGCGAGTTCTTGGCCGGCAACTTAGCCGCCTGCTGTCTGGGCAGCTCGACGCAGCCGCTGTTGAAGGAGCGCGCACGTGGCCGTGACTGAGCGGATGCCTCTGTGGGGCTGTTCGCCACGACGCCCGCTGGCTCGTTGTGTGTGCTCGAGAGCTCGGCGATCTTGAGCAGCGTTTGCAGCGTCTGTATGACCGCATTGTCCCGGGCATGCTGCTCGCCGTGCTCCGCCCAGTCGCTGGAGGCGTTGCTCAATATGATGGCCTTCAGCTTGCGCAGGTGCTTCTGCATCTTCTCAACTGCAACGACGAAATGAAAGAGAATGGCCGTTGATCAGGAGAGGCGAGATACGAGATATGACAGCTGCTATTAGATAAGAACTAGCGCGCCCTTATCTTGTGAAAACATCGACAGAGATCGCTGGAGATGACGACTTCGTCAGCGTTGGCCGAGCGCCAAAGCAAAAGTGTCGTCTGCTGCTGCCGGAGCGTGTGGAATGCTCCACTATCCATGTCAATACGTCTGTAACGTGTGCAACGCACACGCACACACACGTGCACGAAGCCACACACACCCACACACACAGACAAGCACACACGCACACTTATACACTCACACTCTCCGAGAGAGAAATTCAATCTCGTCTGAGGCCAGATGCACGCGTTGTAAGCGCTCGTATTATGGCCAAAGTAACTCAGGGCCTGCCCGACTGACTGACTGAGTGAGTGAGTGACTAACTGACTAACTCGACTGGCTTATAATTAACTCTTAGAGGAACCACAAAGCGCCGTTATGAGGTTTATCGCCATCACGTCTCACCTCTTCGCTCTAAGCTCGCGTGTGTGTGTATGTGGGTGTGTGTGTGTGTGTGTGAATGTGTGCGCTTTGTTCTCGCCTCATGGGCACTGCTAAGGCTTCGCGCCAGCCTTAGTCAACGTCGATTGCATTGGAAACGCATTAGCCGCGGAATGTGAACAGCAACCGGCAATAGAATTGGCATAGAGCTACCGAGATGACCTGCACTGTGGCAGAGAAATCAGAACTGCAAACGGGCTTGCAACCAGAACTCAAACATTAGAAACTTTCTTTACCAAGGAATACTACAATACTACAGTAACCAAAACACAAACTTTCCATACCAAGGCTTGCTACATGGCAATTATAGTAGTGGGAAGTTCTATACGAATAATATACGGATAAAAAATAAAAATATAAAAGAATATTTATAAAACTAAAAAAAGTAAATATATATCTAAATTCCTAAACTTGCACAAATGGAATTAGTTCACATTCGATCATCTGCAGCTGAAACTAACAGCTAAATTATAGCAACCCTATAATAGAGCCCTGTAATAGAACCGATTCACGTTTTATCACCTTCCACTGCCTCTAGCTAATATGCCTCTTTTCCGGTAGAGTATTCTAAGCACTTGAGGGAACAATTGCTGAAACACCCACACCCAAGTTCCCACTCGCCTGTAGCGTGTCTGGCCAACTGACTCACCTTCTTCGTTTTGAAAGCCCTTGATGCATATGGCCATGGTCGCCTCGAAGAGTTTTAGCAGCAGTTTCTTGCACTCTCCATTCGGTTCGTAGAGGCAAAACAAATCTGCATCGATGTCTAAAGTGGGCTCAGGCGTCGAGCGTCGCTCGGGGGAGCCCGTGCTGCCGCCGAATAGGGAGCCCACAATATTGAACAGCTTGCTAATTAGTCCGGCAGCAGCTGCCTCATCCTCTGCCACGACGCTGGACACTGCCAGTGGCACTGATTCAACGTTGTTGTTGTTGCTGTTGCTGTTGCTACTGGGTTTGCTTCCGCGTATGTCGAAGAGCACAATACTCTCGTCCGGCTGGCTAGACTGCAGGTGCTGCAGAAAGGAAGGCAATGCCGGCTGCTCGGCGTAGTTGTTGATGATGGAGGCGTAGTCCAGGGAGGAATCGGCGTAGTCCGAGCTGGCTGCAGTCGTCGCGGAGGCTGACATCACACTGAACGGCAGCTGTACTTGCGAGACGAGCGCCTCCAATGAACTTGAGCCACGAATGGACGGCATTGTCGGCGTCGTCGCTGGCGTTGTCGCTGCGGTTGAGGTTACGGCGACTGCGGCTTTTGGCAGCATTAGAAAACAACTTAGTGCATTGTAGTTTAGCTTGAGTATGTCAATGATTGTCTTATCGCCATGCCGCAATTTCTCCTCCTGCTCCAGCTGCGGCTGTTGTTGCTGTTGCTGCTGCTGCTGCTGTTGCTGCTCGTCAGCGTCGTCGTCATCGTCAACCGTCATTTCCACGGGTATCGAGTAGATTTTGGCAAACTCATTGTAAAACAGTTGACTGGTCTTGAGCAGCTCATAGTTGAGCGTCCACTGGAGTGCGGTTATATATAGAATATCCACCGGCTTGTGCCCCTCTAACAGCGACGTATTGGCCGACTCTTCCAGCCAGAATTTCACATTTGAGCGCTTGGCGCATCGGTGCAGCAGCGCCTGGAACAATCGTGAGGCGCGATCGCTGCTATTCAGCTGCAGTTGTATAAGGCGACGGCTGAGCGCGATCTGCTCGTGGCTGTTGTCGCCCAGAAAGGCAATGTTATCGATGCCCACCTTGATGAGATCACAGACGCCGCGCTGCAGCTCCGGCACACACAGCAAGTCCTGCATGTAGCCAATGTTCTCCTCGTTGTAGAAGGCCTTGACAAGACGTATGTCACTCAGGTACATCACAAAAATGCTGAGGCACTCGTGGAGAATGCGATAGTTGTCCAACTTACAGGGCAACTGCAGGCGCGGCAGCTTATGCACTCCAGTCGTCTTCGTCTTGCACTCACTTAGCTGTTTGTATTGCCGGAAAATGGGTAACGCCACCTCGGCCAGAATGCCAGCGGCCAGATCATACGATAGTAAATAGGCAATATGCTTCAGATGCTTCAGGAAGAGCAGCATCGAGCTGCTGTTCAACAATGCTCGATAGTTGTCCTTATAGATGTCCAGAAGTTGCATGTGAAATGCCGGCGACTTGAGCTTCTCCTCGCAAACGGCGCAATGCTGGGGCGAGCGTTTCACGAAGATGGTGTGCAGCACATTGTAGTGGAGGAACTTGTAGGTGCACTTCTGATAGCTGCCAGAGAGCTGGGTGGCCAGGCGCAGGCAGGTGGCATAGTTGGTCGTATTGTAGTGGCAGCAGCAGCTGCCGGTGCGGAGCAGCGAACGCACGGTGTGCTCCTGCAGCTCCGGCACCAGATTGGGCAACAGCTGATAAAGTTTGCCCTGGAAATAACAGGTGAGCGAGCGCTCCGTGCAGTGAAGCTGGCTGTGACGCTGACGCTTGTAGCGCGGTGGCTGATGTTGTTGCTGCTGCTTGGCCAAAGCGCTAGAGGTGTTGCTCTCCATGAGGCATTGCAGCTGCTGTTCCTGGCGCGACAGATGATCCGTGAGGCGCAGCAGCAGCTTGTAGATATGCAGAAAGAGCAGCGAGGTGCAGGTGGTGGATGCGGCCGCCTCTTGCAGCACATCGAAACAGGCGTCAAAGAGCTTCACATCGATTTGATTTAGATGCTGAGAGCCGAACTCCACCAGATTGTGCAGAGTGCCAAATATAATGTAGAGCACAGCATGTGAGAGCACCGAACTGCTGCGATTGGCAGCTAGCGCATAGAGCAGCTGGCTGCACTGGCTATTAAAGTCCAAGGAGCTGGGCTGCTGCTCGTGCATATAGAAATTGTTGACACACTGCGCAATCAGCTGCAGCAGCTCAAACTTAATAATTTCGTCATTCTTGCTGCCGGGCAGCTCCGCCTCCTGCTCGCACTCATCCACACAGCTGCTGCACAAATGGCCCAGCGCAAAGTTGTGCACCGTTACACTGAGCTGCGGGTCCTGCTCAGCATCGACGCAGCGCGAGAGTAACTGGATGAGCAGCAGCGCCAATTCATCACTTGTTTTACAAGCATTTCTGAATTCATTGAAGCTGCTAATAATCTCAATGGGTTGTTGTTGCTGTTGCAGTTGCTGGGGCTGTGCCTGTTGTTGCTGTTGTTGTGATTGCTGTTGCTGACGACGCGTTTTATTGCGCTGCGAATTCAGGTGAAAGCTACTAATGAACTGTGCAATGCTGGTCAGGGGCTGCAGCGGGGCATTTTCAGCACTCCATTTGCAATTGGGAAACAGATTGATGCACAACTGGCAGAGGCTCTTCTGCGAAGCAATGTGCTGGAAAAGACAATCACTGATAACAATAACTATGCCAAGCAGAGTCCAACTAGGCTTACCTTGATTTGCACGCGCAGCAGAAAGGCGAGCAAATGTTGACCCAAGCCATTAGTAAGAAAAGTTCTCAATGCCAAAATCTTATTGCAATCACTGGGTGTGCTCAAAATAAGCTGCAATGAATCATATCAGAATATATTATATTAAATATAAATAAATATATATTATATTCAATATATATATATATATATATATATAAATATGTCACCTGGGCTAGGTTATGCTGTTTTCGCAGCTGTTTGATGCATTTGTCTGGTTGCTCGGGTTCCTGCGAACGTTTCGCTGCGCTGATGATTTGATACACCTGCTCCAGCAAATAAGAGCACAGCTCTTCGGGCAGCTGATTGAAATTGCTGCAATGTAGAGCAATTTAATTAATATTCAATTATCTCTTATTGCATTCTACTTACCTATTAAACTGCGCATCTCGCAATGTTTGCTCGTCCAAGTATTGGAAATGATACAGCAGCTGCCAGAGCCAGTGTTCCTGCAAGTGTAGCTGATAATGTGAGCAAGTGCACACATTGAATTGATATCCGAGTTGCATACAAACCTTGACACTCGCCGTCTGCTTATCAACTGTCTCAGAGTCGGAGGGGTGCAGATAATGGCTCCAAAGTCTGTTCAGCGTTTGCAGCAGCAGTTGACGTTGCTCCTCCTCCAGCTGCTGCTGCTGCTCGTTGGCCATGGCAGAACGCACGCTCCCTGCTGTCTTCTATTGCTGCTGCTGCTAGGGCGACGGCTACTTCTTCGGCTGATGTGCTGTCAGGTTCGAGCATCGGACAACGTTGTGGCCGCAATAAGCGCTGGTACAGAACTGAGCGAAAGGCTGCAAAGTGCTAGCGATTGCCTGCCAGCTGTAATTAAACAAGTAAATTACGAATATAAGTATTTAAGTGCATTTGTGTGTAAATATGCGTGCGTATGCGAGGGAGAGGGACAGAGTGGAGGCGGGGCAAATGCATCGTTTACTTGCTGAGATTATTAGCTGCTGCAGTAGCAGCAGTAGCAGAAAGACAGAGGCCGGTGAAGCTGATTATTTGGACGAACGACAATGGAAAACTTTTAAAGTTGATATTGTTGTTGTTGTTGCTGATGCAGGAAAACTATTCGATTTGCTATTTATAGACAAATGCCACTGCATTCGGTTGTCAAGCGAATCCAAAGCCGGGTACTCAGTGGCATGATTTGTAGATGCCGAGGAGCGACGGGGCTGGCGGTATAGAGCACACAGAGTAAACAGCTGGCAATGATGCGTGCCTTTTACGGTTAATATAACGGTTAATGCTCGCAGAATTGACGATAAGAGAGCCAACTAGAAGCAGACTGCACGCGACGCCCCTTCAGCGCTTGATCAATAGAAAATACATAATTAATGAATTGACCGATTGTCAATCATAAAACTTCGCTTATCGGGCGATGACAGCAGCAACACCAACATAAAATCCACAACAAAAGCCACAATTGCGATGTAAACATAAAACAAAAATCAACAACTTTCACACCGAAAAAGTTGAATGTATAAACTGCGTAAATTGTTGATGACGCTGGTCATGAAATAGACACTGTGATGTATGAGTGTTTGTGTATGAACACATAGTATATAAAAGTACAAAATCAACAGACCTTGCACAAAAACAAGAAAAAAAATTGAAAAATTACAAAAAGTAGCGAAAACCTCAGGCAACAAAAACAATTTAATACGCCATTTTGGTTTAATGTGTAAGTTCAGTTCATTTGGTTCACAAATTTCACAATTAGCGTGATTTTTTCTTGGGTATTTAAGGAATCTTTGCTCTTAGTATATTGTTTGCGTGCGTGCGTTCTATTGTTATAAACAAAAGTGTTTTGAAAACTGCTTTGTTATTGCAGAAATCAGCTGTGCTCGATAGTTTGCTAGCGATTATTACGTTTCTGTACAGATTAATCGATAGCAGTGACTGCGCGCTGTTAATAACATTGTAGATACTGTTAAGGCTGTCGGCCCAGTCTGCAGCTGGCAGTGTTGGGTTTTAATTGATCGCGGTTGGGTTCTTATGCGAAACTCGCTATCAAAGTGCTAAATTGATTGTTTAAAACCGCAAATATTAACTATTAAAGTGTAAATAAGAACATCATGTTTCGCGGCTTAGTTGCATATAACCGCCTGGGCAACAAGAACCTAACGTTCAAGGTAAGCGAGATATAGATACATAATAGATAATGTAATAACATATGTAGATACTTTGTATGGTCCATATGCTATGGAATGCAAAAACAATATTAAGGCAGGTGTTTTTCAACCACATGTTGTTCTGCTGAAAAGGAAAACACAGAGCGCAACAGGTCGAACTAATAAAAATGTTGGAGTTCAGATTCATAGATAAGCCCCGTTAGGGACAGCCTGGCCAGCTGCCTTGCTGCTTGACGATGTTGATAAGCGATATTTTGATTGCTGTCGCCCCACACGAACTGTTTCCCCCACCCCACACGCATCGCTAATTTATTAAAATTACCTTGTTACGTAAGTTTCGCACAAATAACAACATTGAACATGAAAACAATCTCCACAATTAAATCCGTGCCAAACAAGTATGCAAATGACGTGCTAGAACTGAATGTAATTTAAGCACCTGATCACACCTGCTTTCCATTTTCAGCTCGTTGCCTGCTACTCGACTGCGGGCAAGCGCCAGGGCAAAATCTACGAATCGGCCAGCGATGCGGTGGCCGACGTTAAGGATGGCTCCAAAATTCTCTTTGGTGGCTTCGGCATTTGCGGCATACCCGAAAAGATGATTGAGGCACTCAAGCAGAAGGGCGTCAAGAACATTACTGGAGTGTCCAATAATGGAGGTAAATAGATTATAACAGTATGACAGCTTTTAGCATGAAGTTACTGAAACTGGTTCGCAGGCTAGCTTAACAGTGGTGGCTTGTATATTGAAACACTGCCGGCTGTAGCCAATACTTTACAGTGGTGGCATATAAAGTTATGAAGTGGCTATTAAAACTAGTTCGCCGGTTTATTAACCTACTGCCAGAGTTACCAGCCATTGCAAAAAGCTGATTACACTTTCAAGTTCTTGTAAATCTTTTTATTAACGTTATCTATCTTATCTTCAGGAGTTGACGATTGCGGCTTGGGCGTGCTTATTAAACAGAAACAGTTGTCCAAGGTTATTGGATCATACGTGGGCGAGAATACCGAGCTAGTGCGTCAATACCTGGCCGGCGAGCTAGCCGTGGAACTGACGCCACAGGGCACATTGGCGGAGAAGATTCGGGCTGGCGGTGCGGGTATACCCGCCTTCTTCACACCCACCGGTTATGCCACGCTGGTGCAGCAGGGCGGCGCACCCATCAAATATGACAAAAATGGCAAAGTGATTGAGTCGAGCGCAGCTAAGCCCGTGAAAACGTTCAATGGCCGCAACTATGTCATGGAGGAGTCCATTTTCGCTGACTTTGCCTTTGTCAAGGCTCAAAAGGCGGATCCCCTGGGCAATTTGATATTCAACAAGTCTGCGCGTAATTTCAATGCGCCCATGTGCCGTGCTGCCAAGATTACGGTCGCGGAAGTGGAGGAGATTGTGCCTGTGGGCGCCCTCTCACCAGACGAGATCCATGTGCCCGGCATCTATGTGAAGCGCATCTTCAAGGGCACCAACTACAACAAGCGCGTGGAGCGTCTGCGCATCACAGAGCCGAAAGGACAAGGCCAGCCCGCGGCAGAGGTCAGTCCGGCACAAGCCTTGCGTGAACGCATTGCTCGGCGAGTGGCTCTAGAGTTCCGCGATGGCATGTACGCCAATCTGGGCATTGGCATTCCCGTGCTCTCCTCCAACTATATACCACAGGGCATGAATGTGATGCTGCAGTCGGAGAATGGCATCTTGGGATTGGGGCCATTCCCCACTAAAGACCAGGTCGATCCAGATTTGATTAATGCGGGCAAGGAGAGCGTTACCGTAGTGCCAGGTGCTGCCTACTTCGGCTCCGACGACAGCTTTGCCATGATTCGTGGTGGCCACGTAGATTTGACTATTCTGGGCGCCATGGAGGTGTCGGCAACAGGTGACTTGGCTAACTGGATGATACCCGTAAGAGAGAGAGAGAAGGATGAAAATTAATCTATTCAGCGCACTAATGTAATTTATTTATTGCAGGGCAAGCTCGTAAAGGGCATGGGCGGCGCCATGGATCTGGTGGCGGCACCTGGCACCAGGGTCATCATCACTATGGAGCACAATGCCCGCGATGGCTCGCCTAAGATTCTTGAGAGCTGCTCGCTGCCGTTGACCGGCAAGGGCGTCGTCGATTTGATCATCTCGGAGAAGGCTGTGTTCCAGGTGGAAAAGGGCGTGGGTCTGACCCTATTGGAGTTCGGCGAGGGCTACACCGTGGACGATATTGCGGCCTGCACTGGCGCCAAGTTCAGCGTCTCGCCCAACGTTAAGCCCATGGGACAGATATCCGTTTAGAACGCGATTGCGATTAGAAAGAAGGCTATTTAGAAATACTGTTCAGGTACTCAGGTGATATATTTGTGCATTTATTGTTGTTAAACGTGAAACAATAATCGTTTGTTTTTATTACCATTAAAGTGTAAAATGGTTTTACAATTGTTGAAGCTATAAGTGCGTTTGCAACTCAGCCCATGGCCTTGGCCATGTTCTTCAATGCGGTGCGATGCGCCACACGCATCTGTTCGTTGAGTATGTCGAAGGTGCGATTGTACTTGCTGCCCGACTCGTTGCGACAGATCGCACAGAACTGTGAGGAGAGCACGTGAAGCGGACTGCGAAAATATAGAGTCTTCTGCATGGTCAGGGAGTTCTTGTAGTGCGACATAATGTGCAGCCCAATCTCCAGTAGAGAGAGCAGACCCCACAGAAGCATGTTCCAGGAGAAGAGTGTGGGTATCAGGAAGAGCAGGAAGGAGTTCCGTTCATAGCCCAAAATGATGTTCTACAGATAAAAGCAGCTGTTAGCTGATGATCTTAGGATCGTGTCAAATTCCATGTTCGACTTACGCTGTTCACGCCATCCATTTTGATGTAATCCTCCCGCTCGTAGCCGGGCTTCGTTTTCTTTTCATTGGAGGTGCTCTTTATGGCTTTGCTGCCAATCACATGCTTTGCTGTAATATCCCAGTGTTCGTGGTGTTTGTTGGCCAATACGTTGTCCACCTCGTCGCAGATGGTGCCGCGCAAATAACGCTTGGGCACATGGAAGTTGCCGTGCTTGCGATAGCGCACTTTCATCTGATCGTTAACCGGCTCACCTGTCTCCTCATCATATTTCGGCTGCTTGATGCGCGCTGAGTCGGTGTAAAAATACTCGAATTCACCCGTTTCACTGTTCTATAAACGAGAAAACATAGAAATGAGTTGAAGAGTTATAGAATATAGACTAATAATTATATTTAGTGCAAAATTGTTCCCAGGTCTACAGAGGTGACTACTTAAAAGGCTTTATACTGAAATTCCCTTCGTATCTGAAATTGTTTGCCGTTTCTCTTTATGACACCGATAGAGCAGCTGGCAAATCAAAAGTATTTCGTTATTTTATTCCTTTGTTATTGTACCAAAAATAACCGAGACTAGCTTTTCTGATAACGGCACCCCCAAGGTACCGATTGTGTCCCATGATTCATTTCAAATAGACCTAGGTATTCTGCGTAATATTTCCAATGTGTACGAAATAATTTTCATCACAAACATCTTACCACCGTCATGTTTAGCTAAGCACTAACCATACAAATTGTTGTCCAGAGCGACATAGGCTAGCCCGACAACTATAATAATAATAATAATAATAATAATGTTTATAGTGACTTATCGCTATCAGCGAGACCTGAGATACGGCACCTGGTAGCTTATGAAATGTTTGAGGCTTATCATTAAGTATGCAACTTATAGAATGCCTATGTCGGAGCAGTTGAGGTGGATACCTAGATCTCTAAGGTCTACTTGTTCGATTGAGCTACGCCCCTTAATTGACAACTTGAGAATCTATTCTGTGGATCGCACATGCTACCAGATATCGCGTGCGACATTATTTCGAGTTGAAAGGGTCAGCAAAAAAAAAGTGGAAAATAGGAAATGGAAACAGTATTGCATACTGGAGATCACGACTCGGCCCTAATGGCAGAGACTATTATTATAATTATTTCAGTCTATGCAATTAAATTGTTTATACGTCAGCCTCTAAAAGCAGTCGTACATGTTAGCTAACATGTTCTGTAGTTTTATTATTAGTTATTGATTTTAGATCAACAGCACACTCAAGTTACAAGGAGATCTCGCTGAAATATATGAAATGAATGTTATTGATATAATTTGACGATAAACTATCTGGCCATAGCAAGAAACTAATATTCAAAGTCAATCACTCCGATTAGCAGGGCAATGCCTACGTCACAGTAAACGCTCAATATAGTGTCCAGCCAGGCAAAGCGAACGAATGGTAATTAACATGTCTCGCATTCGCTTGAATAAATAATTGCTAGTAATATTTATTTATAGGTCGCATAGAATTGTTCTAAGGTCTGCTTGCACAAAAAGAGTGACTGTAGCATTAAACAACAGTTTTATTTGTGACTAAGGGATATTAGAAGTGTGGGGAAGTTCCCAAAAGTATATTTTAGTACAGCTACACTATTTCGACAATACGATTCGGTAAGGGCTATGCTTAAGCTTTTATATGCTACCGGAAGCTTATATCGTCCTATAGCAACTAAACAACTCTAAGCTAATTTGGGTGCTATATGTAGAACTAAATCTTCATACAATCCGGGCTTTATCCGCCATGCATATACACTAAATCTCCCGTGACAGAGCCGCTTTATAAAACTATTTTGCATAAATGCAGACGCCTCTGGCATTAACTAGGCTTTATTGATAGTTATCTAGAATACATACACACATATCTATGTATATAGTATAGTGGGCTCGGCGATATCGCGCCGCTGTTTCATAACAACAAAATTATGAAGGCTTTATACTAAGGATGACGGGCACATTGCACACATTGAGAGATCTTTCACTCGATCGATGATGGCAGCGAGTAAAAGTCTAAGAAACAAGTTTAAAGTAGACAGCGTCATTTTTAGTCTAAATTTTGGCAACAAGTTTTAGACATGGGCGGAGGAACAAAGAAAGGGGACATGTTTCTCTGTTTTGGGGTTTACCTTTATGGAGTAGACCATAGTTGTTTAGCTTTTATCTATTGTGGTCGTTGTTGTTGGTGTTGGTTTATTATTGCTTGATATTTATGTTCCTCTTGTTTCGCACTGCGCTTTGTTTTAATCTATTTGTTTATTAATATATAGCAATAAAACAAATAAACAACTACACTTATACAAACACATACACATTTATATGTATGTAAATTTAGTTCCTATATATAAAATATAAGATAACTTATTTGCTTAACAAATTTGTCGCGGCACTTTTTACTGCACAATAAAAAGTGGGAAAATTTTGCTATAAAAACCGGTTGAAATTGATAAATTGAATAAAATTGCACTTGAAACACATTTAATTAGTTATGGTGTGTTATTATTGAATTATATATGAAAATATTTTAGCATTTTCTCTGCTGCTGCCGGATAGCTTTTTTTTGCTTGAAGAGAGACGAGCGAAATCCACGTCTGTTATGAACAGCTTTTGAACGAGGAATAAAAACAAAAAATATTAGGTGAGCAGTAAAAGTATATGTGGAAGTAAGCAGACGAAGAGTCAGCAGAAGAGAGACAATCAAAGAGAGCAAGCTTTCCTCAGGCAAGTAGATCGCTTTAAAGTACTTAATTTAGTTGGTTGAGTGAATTAGCAGATAGCTTTTTGTTGAGAGACTGGGTGCTGTCTAGACTAATAGCAAACGTATATAAGGTTAATGTCTCGACTGCAGTGCGCAGTGCCTTCGTACAGAATTTGAATTTTTGGTTGTGTGTCTTGACTAACTTCTAAAGTATAAGCAACTCACACATGCTCTAAAAAGTACCTTGCCTTCTTTTATTCGCTAATATATAAACTCTGAGGTCACCTAAATTTAAATAGCTAGTAAATGATCTAAAAAGTGCAAAGCAGTTTTCATTTTTGGTTGGTGTCTTTACTAAATGCACAATCTCTGTTCGCCTAAAGCTCTGATCGCAAATAATATGTATAGCCGAAACTCAGAATCAATATGCCATTAGTCTTCGAATTCTGGATATACGAGTCAGGCAAGTATGAGTTGGTGTAGCAAACTTCATTGTATACATATGTACATATAGTATAGAAATGATATATGGTATTGCATTTTTTTTGATTTCTTTTCATTTTAATTGTTTTGATGAATTAATACGATTTTGTACTTTAGTAGGTGTTTCACTTGTTTCGGGGCTCTCGAGCTGAATCGGCGCGCATTCACCGTTTAGTAGCTGCGCGTTGGGCATATCGTTTGGTTGTGCGTCCCACAGAACTAGAAGAGAATAGACGTAAATCCTAGTCGTATCTTTTTATCTTAATAGCCTTCCGTGTGTGATAAACGATTTATGTTTTAGCCGAGTAGCTTCCACAAACAGTAATGCAGTGAGTAAATTAGACAATCTACCTTTCCGAAGCTATAGTCATGAGCCCTTAGCTGACGGATGAGCTAACAAAGCGACAATCAACATGGCCAATAGCAATTTGTTGTTTATTTGCCTTTGCCTACCATAAATTATAAAATTTGGTCGAAAAAAGTTTAGCTTAATTTTAATGTCACGAATTTGTTTGTTTATTTATTTATTTTTTGGTTATATTATCTTTTGAGCTGAATTAGAGGTATTTTTATATTTTCATGTTTTTGCATCATTAAAAGACAATAATGATAACTGCTTTATACACAATTACCACATTTATTGGGCCACTAAAAAATTTACAATTGTTTTTGTGCTTGGGTCCGAATTAATCAACTAATAAACACTCACGGAGTCATTGCCAAATGGCAATAAGAAATCGACATTATAAAAATCACTAATTTGATTTGAACTTCTCCTAGAAACGATAGCAAAAATGATTCGGTTGCGATGCCAACGTCCAAGGCAAACATTGACGACTACGATCCCCACATGCATCGTAAAGTTAAGAATCCAACCAAGTGAGTAAACAAGCAGAGAAAGAGAGAGAGCGCTAGAGAGAGAGAGAGAGAGAACACTCGCTTCAACATCTATAATTAATATTAATTATTAAATTTCTTCAGCAACTGGCAGACCTTTGCGCACTTCCTGAAAGCCTCCATCGGCACAGGAGTCCTGGCCATGCCCAGCGCCTTTGCGCATGCGGGCTATGTGAACGGATTTGTTCTGACAGCGATTATCGGCCTGCTGGCTCTCTACTGTCTGCACATATTGGTGAGTCTCGCCCATTGTTTGTCGTGTGTCAGCTAACTTATCTTCCGTTTGCAGATCAACAGCATGTATGTACTCTGCAAGCGTCAGCGTGTGCCCTACATCAGTTTCTCCGAGTCCATGCGACTCGGCCTGCAGGAGGGTCCGCCCATGCTGCGATGTCTGGCGCCAATTGCTTCGTGAGTTTACATCTTTAGATTATTATCGTTATGTGTATCGATATATCATTATTATAACTATGTTTCTAATCCTTTACAATCCATTTACTTATACATTTATTCATATTTACTGATGTTGAATTATCAATCATCATTAAAGATTCTATTCTAATAAATAAATACCAATCTTTCAATCAGTTCACCTATCAATCTTGTAATCCACCAATCTATCAAACTATCAGTTCCAGCATTATTCCTTCTTGCCACACTTATATCATCTATCCATTGTTATCATTTATCCATGATATATATTTATCTTTATTATATCTATCGATCAATGTAGCTGCTGTTCATCTTTCTTTCTATATAATCTGTCTATAGTCTATCCATGCAAAATTCATTTTCATTATATATTTTATCTGAATTTTCCCATCAATTTCTCTATTTGCCGGTCTTCCAGCCCTTTTGTGGATGGGTTCTTGGCCTTCTACCACTTTGGCATCTGCTGTGTCTATGTGGTCTTCATAGCGGAGAGCATCAAGCAGCTGGTGGATGAGTATCTCGTTGTCCTGGACGTGCGTCTGCACATGTGCTTCCTCATCATTCCGCTCATGCTGATCTTCAGCATACGCAACTTGAAGGTGCTGGCGCCCTTCTCCAGTGCTGCCAACTTGCTGCTCTTTGTGGGTCCGTGAAACCTTTCCCACTCTCTAGCTAACCCTCGCTGATGGGCTTTCTCTGCTCTTTGCAGGCTTTGGCATCATCTTATATTATGTATTTGAGAACTTGCCGCCGCTCAGTGAACGCGAGGCCTTTGTGAGCTACACCAAGTTGCCCACGTTCTTTGGCACGGTGCTCTTCGCTCTGGAGGCGGTGGGCGTGGTAAGTTGATATAGGTATATGTATATGTGTGTGTGTATAATAGAGCGTTGTTTCTTTCAAAGATCCTGGCTATAGAGGAGAACATGGCCACGCCGCGCTCCTATGTGCAGCCCTGCGGCATCATGAACTGGGGCATGGCCATCGTCTTGAGTCTCTACATATTTCTGGGCTTCTTCGGCTATTGGAAATACGGCGACGATGCCTTGGGCAGCATCACGCTCAATATACCCCAGACAGAAGTGTATGTATGGGTATACATATATGGTGTACTATAATCTATCTCTCAATATATCTCCCTCTCCCTCTCTCTCTCTCTTTTCGTTTTGCAGTCTCGCTCAGGTGGTCAAGATTTTCTTCGCCATCACCACATACATATCGTATGCACTGCAGGGCTATGTCACGGCGCACATCGTGTGGAATCAGTTCCTGAGCAAGCGGATAGCGAATGTCAAAAAGCACACGCTGTATGAGCTGTGTTTTCGGGCGTTCATCGTGCTGCTCACCTGTAAGTGAATCAGCAGCAGGTGATGGGAGCCGAGAGAGTCTGATTTATTTATGCATTTGGGTTGGGTTGCTCTTTCAGTTGGCTGCGCTGTTGCCATTCCGGACCTGTCGCTCTTCCTCTCGCTCGTCGGCTCCTTCTGCCTGTCCGTGCTGGGGCTCATCTTTCCGGCTCTGCTCCAGATCTGCGTGCAATACGAGACGGGCTATGGACCGTGTGGCATTCGACTCGTTGCCAATCTGCTGCTGCTCCTCTTCGGCATCTTTGGCGGTGTGGTGGGCACCTATGTGAGCATTGTGGACATTATCAACTCGATGTCGGGCAAAGTGGCTTAACTCTGACCATTAAATACTTTTACCAATACACGAATACACATAATTGAGTCGCTGCGAGCGATGTTTGTACAATGCGGCGTATGCGTAATCTAGCGTAGCCTCTGCGTGTGGCTTATGCAAATCATGTTGCGGCCTCTGTATGTCATCTGGGTGCCTGCTGGCTGCCGGCTGCCGGCTGACCTCTGCCCTCTGCTCTGTGCATGCTGTTTGGTTTGCTAATTATTGCCGCCTGCGCACACATTGGCTAATAGTGGGCGAGTGGCCGAGTAGGCGAGTGGCCGAGTGGGCGGCGGGTCCAGTCTGGTCAATTTCAGCGAGGCTTAGGGGCTGCAGCTGCACAGGGAGCGGCTCAGAAGTTGGCAGTCGAATTCTTTGTAACTTTAATTAAAAACCTTAGAGTGTGGCACGTGGCAGGGGCAGCGGCAGGAATGTAAGTATCCGCCTCCACGCCTCAGGTAGCCAGACAGTCCACAGCGTGCGGCAAATGCAACGAACTGTAATTAAATGCAACCGCAATTAACACAAAAGCACCCGCAGGTCAGAATGGCAGACACATTGCATTCCCTTGCAACACGCTCAACCGAATCCCGGCCAGAGTAGCCCAGCAGCAGCTCACAGAGTATCTTTCTCTCTCTCTCTCGCCCTCTCTCTCTCTGTATGCTCTCTTGTGCAGCCCTTTTCATTTTATTTACAATGTTTTGCGTTCCTGTCGACATGCTCCTCATGCCTTCAACACAGACAACGCTGTCTTCTGCAGACCACAGCGCCGCAATGTCCGCCGGCCATAAGAAAACCCGAGCAGAGCGTGGGTAGTGCGATGCCTAATGCCAGCTATTAGGCTATTTACTTGACAACTAATTGAGCTGCCCTCGCGTGTGTGTTGAATTGCCGTTTTCTTTGTCCGTTTAATTACTCTTTTGACGGAAATAACACAAGATTCGTTTTTTAAAACTGGCAACAAAATAGAAATTGCAGTCAGTTCGCCAACTGGGAACACCAACAACACCAGCAGCAGCACCACCCAATGCGTCCCTGAGAGCTGTGTGAAATGCAACACTTTTCATTCGAATACCCTATAACTAGAGCTATCCTGATTGAGGGGAGGATTAAATTGGGAATAATTGCTTTCAGCTGAAATCTTTGAATTAGTTCAAGTCTAAAGGTCAATATTTGAAGAATTTAACTATGTAATAGAAATTTGTTAAAGACTTGATAAAGCTTGAAAGCTCAAGTTAACATTAGAGGTCCATCTACTTATAAAGCTTGTCAAAGACTTGCGAAAGCTTTTAAAGTTTCAGCTCAAGATAAAGGTGGAAGCTCTATAGACGCGTTAAAATGCTTTTAAAGCTCAAGCTTAAGATCAGATAATAAATACCGATTTATTTAAATTGCCTTAACATTTTAGTAATTCACTCTCTTTAAAAGAT